AGCAGCCGCCAAAAGGACCAGCAAGGACTCGAAAGAGAAGGGTAGAAAGTGAGTAAGAGAGAGAGAGAGTAAGAGAGAGAGAGAGGTAAGGATGTGTAAAGGGCCTAACAGCAGTTAGTCTTGCTATATCAACTGACAAAATAATTAATTTTATTCGCATTTTTGTTTGAGCTGGGTTAGCCACAGTGCGGCTCAACATGTCAGGTTTTTTGTAACATTGTAAATTTTTTAAGAACTCTAATTAATTTAGAAACTGATAAATAAAATGTATTAAAGATCTATACAGTAAAGTATACACGTCTTTTAATATGTTCTTTTTGAGATAAACACTCTTTGCTGAGTAAAAGAAAATAAATTTGGCAAACCTTTAAGTTTTACATTTTTATTTTCATTACCTATCTTAACACTCAAGTATCTATTAGTTATAAAAAAGCTAAAAGCTTAGATAATTCACCTTAAAACACACTGTACTAAGCAAGTGAGAGCCAACTTAGAAGTGAGCAAGGATCCCAACTCCTGCCTGGCATACGTAATTAAATGCGCCTTACGCAATGTGCGAAAAGTGAAGATGGAAAAATGCCAAGGGAAAGAAATCAAAAGTTAAAGGAGAAAAGTGGAAAGAGGAAGGCAAAAGGTCGCTAAAATGGTGGAGGCGTGGCCCATCTAGCACAACACGCCCACTGGCAGACGCTTTGCCAGCTTTTCTGTGTAATTAGTTTTTCCCCTCCAAACCGAAAAAGAATCAAGAGAAAAAGTTCCCTCTGCGATTCGGTTCGTATTTTATTGAATTTTCTTTTCATTTGTTTGTTGATTTTTGGGATTTGCCGCATTTCGTATGCACAGCAGATAGGGGGCGGCTGTGGGCTGTGGGAGGTCAGAGGGCTGTCATTGAGACAAATCCTTGTTTATCTAGCTCCTTGTTGCTGCTGCCGCTCCTGTGACTTTTCGTTTTGCCAATAAATTACTTTGTAATCAAGTGAATTCGAGTGGCAAAGGACCAAGAGCAGAATAGAGCAGAAAAAGGAAAAAAGCGAATTAAATGAAAGGTTGTTGGGATATCCAATGGCTGGGCAGGAAATGTTTGATTTGGCTTACCAACCGATGACTGTAATTTACTCAAGATTTTTTAATAAAACTGTATTTACCCCCTTGCAATAATGTTTTATTGGCGATCTTTGATAAATACAATGTTTGCTTATATCTGAATAACAATCAATATGACAACCATTTTCCATTTTTAGCAACTTATATTATTTTTAGAATTTCCAAACATTTCTCCATTAAACCGTTTACTCAGCCAATTTTTTACTTCAAGATGCTTTTAGACTTCCAGACCTAGGCCATTATTTCATTGCGTCTGTACACACATTCCTAATACATTTAACAATGGCTAGAAATCAGCGCAAACAATGCGAAAAGCCTGCCCCAAAGTTTGCCCAATGCATTAGTATTAGTCGAGGACGTTGTGGCATAATGGATTTGCATTTTCAGTTCGGAAAAGAAATCCTTTGGCAAACATATTGGAAATATTATGTGCACATGCTTGTAAATAAAGGCAAACACGCACTTACATTGGCATGGTGGCACAGGCACAAGAATGTTGAATAAATTCATATAAAAAATAATAATTATAATATTAAAGAGTTATTTCTTTATCCATATATATATTTATGACTCACGCAATGCATTATGTAGATTGAGTAATTGCTAGACATAATTATGGCAGCCACACAAAGGATCTGGGAGGGAAGCAGGAGCAATCTGAAGGCAGAGCAGAAGGATAAGAGGAATAACTAACTAATCTGTCAGCGACAGATGCGGGCGCAATGATAAAATTTAAAATTGCCCAGCTAGCATTGCAATTACCCTCAAATAAAAAAGGCACAAGGATATGCCAAAGGACCTCCTGCAGCGAAAGAGCTAGAGAGAGAAACAGCAGCTCAGAGGGAGAGAGCAAGGAAGTCTCCTTACAGAGGCTTAAAAAGGAACACAGATTGTACAAAATATAAATAATAATATTTTTTAATATCATGATTAAGTTTCTAAGGATATTTTTGATAAAGTATACTTTAACCCTTGCCATTTCTTTTTAACTTTCTTAGAACCAACTCATTTTTCTCTCTGTGTGCCTGCCTTTAATGAAATAAAATAAATGCTCCTGGGTTAAGAACAGAGGCTGGGCGAGTGAACAGCAGCGGGTAGCCAGCAGAATCAGCCGCAAGGACAAAAGGCAGTTGACATTATGGCATTGTTGTGGGATGACCCCACAGGACCCCGCCGCCTCCCCCGCCATCTGGGCTCTCTGTGTGCTGTTGATATTATATTACATTTTATAAATTACATTTTATGCGCAAGCAAAGTTGATTTGCCTTTCGCTTGGCTCTCTTGGTTGCCCTTTCTCGTGGAACGACCTCCGATCCCGTCCCAGGATTCACTTCACTTGCATGCAGGACAAGTTGACATTTATTGTGGCTGTGGCCCGTGCATTAGCCACCGACCGAGTCCTTGCCCCGCCTTTTTGGCCTGACTTCAATTGCGCAACGGAAATGCATTAAGAAATTCATTCCACCACCTCCCGACCCACTCCTTTGTTTTCTCTTTCATTTTTTACTGCAATAGAAAAGTGTCCTTCAGGTGCATTGAACCAATAATCAGCGACCTGTGGGTTTGGGTGCCGCCAAATGAGGAAATGCTTTTCACATGAGTCTCCGGAATTTGGTAGGGTTACGTGTTTACAAATGACTAATGCAATGTCTAGCCATCACGTAATTCTATATTCAATGCTGAATCGCCAATAGAGAGGAACTAAATGTTCCAAAATAAATACAATTATTGGGTTGGGGAATTTATATATCATCCTTTTGGGATTTGGTAATACTCTTTTCCATTAAAAGCAAAAGTAAGAGTACCAAATATTAATTGAAAATCCATAAAGTACATTTTATTATACTTTTACTTTTATAAAAATAGTTATCTGTTCATTAAATGTTTATTAAATGCAATTTTTAGCATCCACTTAAATCAAATAACCTGTTTAAAGCAGAGTATTTTCATCGCCCCCGACTTGGCAACCTTTCATGGTCCTACCTGTCCAATAATAGTATCAAAAAACATTTAGCACCCATTCAAAAAAGGGAAGACCCGCTTTCCCCTTCCGCTTTTCCGAGCGTTTACATAAATTTCCCTTTTTTTGTGCGCACATTTTTATGACAAGTAATCCGCTTTCACAGCAATTGATGTCAGGGGAAAATCGTCACAAAATGAAAGTTAATACCCAACAACGCGACAATTGATTCAACCTGATGTGATATCCCGTCATTATTATCGAGTTTGCCACTCGGCAGAAAAGCCCCGCCTACCGCTCACCGCCCACTTGTATTATTAAACATTTTATTTGATGTTGAGTGAGCTGATAAGGCTAATGAATGCATGCACCTCATCCTGGGCTAGATGGGTTTTGGTATTAGTGCCTCGAGCCTGGCGAAATATCATTATGATTTTATTTACATTTGCCTTTAATAAAAGTCAACCCGCATGTCTTATCAAGTTGGCGATGACTGTTTGATTTCGTATTAAATTAGTGTCATAAACAGGAACAACTGCTGCGGTTCCCACGGGTTGTCTTTGCAAAATGGGATGTGGGGTAGATCCTCCTCGTTTATCAATGGTATATTTACAATGTTGTATTAACAATTTATTAAACAATTTTATGGTGTTATCGCTGGTTGGCCTCGCATTACGTATACGCACTGATGGCTTTGGGCGCACTCTGCAGCTGTAATGTAATTTCCGTTCTGCATTTCCGCTCTCCGCCGATCCGAAAGAGCCGCAAATTGTTCGTAATTTTATTTATTTAACGCAGCAGTTTGCTGCCTGCACTCGTCACATCATTTGGTAGGCAGTTCATTTCCGCAGCACCCACGCAGTTGCAGTTGCAGTGGCAGCAGCTGCTGCCTTTGCGGTTGCCATTGTTCGGATTAATCCCAGTGATTGGCGGCCCTCGATTCTGGCAATCGGATTCATCGGCAATTCGCTAATATATACTTTTTTAATGAAGATTAAACAAAAAGAATTTCAGTTTTTATGAACATTTATACGACTCTCGAATTTAACAAGTTGCTGTTAAGATATACATATCTGCAAGTTGAAAGCAATTTAAAAATTGTTTATATATGAACGAAGGGGCTTACGCAAAATAAAATTTTTCCAGGCTTACACTGTAGGTAAAATGGTAAATACTCAATCCAAATAAGCAAATTCGATTTTTGTCTGATAACTTTCGATTGACTGTTGCAATTTTGTTTGATTAAGAACATAAACTAAGGTTTCATGTTGACCGAAGAAATTATTATCAACAATTTTACATCTTCATCGATTTTTAAAGAGCAAGCCTAAAAGTATGCCACACATTTGCCTAAAATTAAATTTCAAAGTGAAACACTTTCCTGGAATTGCTCATCCGCCTGCTGTTCTAAATTGATGTGGAAAAACTGAAACCACCCACTCGCACACCTGTATCCCTTTTACCGTTGCCTGACGTTTTGCGTTGTCCTGATTCAGCTCGAAGCGAAATTGGCTTCAATTATGCGACAGAATTATGAAATTACAAAAATTGCGAAAGTAAGTAGCTGCCGTTGCTTTTCGCTTGAGCCAAATGTAATTGCGGCAATTTGCAGTTGCAGGCAGCTCTGCCAGTCGGCTAATAACGTTTATTAAAACCACAACAACATTGCTGAGGGAGCTGAGGGAACCCTGATTCCCAATCCTCTTCTCCCCGCCATAAACCATTGACAATAAGCTGAAGGATATACTTGTACTGCATTCGCATGCGGCAACGTTGTGCAAATTACGCAAATCCTTGTGAAGCACATTAATGCGCACAATGACAATTAATCGCTGCAAATTAAAATGATGACAATGTGCTGGATTTTCCCATATTCCATATATATGTCCCCTCCCAACCACTCAGCGAGGATTAAGCATGGCAAACGAAACAAGAGTTAAATTTAAATCATAATTATTTATGGCTAAGCTGGTGGAGGCGGATAGTTCACATTGTGTTCTCCATTCAGACGCCCCACATCCCGATGTTCCTGCTCCGCCCTCCGATCCTGGTGGTGCCCATCTAGACCCACGCCAATTCGCTCAATGAACTTGGACGAACGGAATCCATTCTTCTGCAATGATAAATTATCATTCAAAAAATTATAATTTAAATTTGTTTTAATCACTTACCTCGTAGTATAGAGACCTCGCTCGCTTGGCCGCTTCAGGATCAAAGTCCCAGGAAGTCCGTTCGTGAAGTACTGGCTCACCAGCCACATTGTTTTGCAGTGTTTCGGTTATAAGTCGTATGATAAAGCCATCTGCAGGTTGGCTAGCCTGAAGCAGAAGCATCAGAACCAGAGGCAACTGGAAAAGAGATAAATCACTAATTTTGAGATTTTTGGATATCCCCAATTTGTAAACTTTCAGTATTGTAAGTTGTTAATTTCTGCATAAGCGACATAGGAGGCGGTGAATAATTAGATTGCACAAGAAATTAATCGATTGGCGTTTATTACTCATACGCCCCACATTACACACTCCACCAATAACAATCACTTCATATTAGTCTTCCTCCGCACTGCTCTTAACGATTTTATTCATGGCTTATTTACTTCGTTTTAATCACATTCCGGTATACTTACAGAGACCATAAAGACAAATCTCAGGTGTAACATTGTCTCGACTTGAGTCTTTCTTTCCACGTTAAAGAGCCGCCCGTGCGAGTCACTGGACCATTGATCACTGAAGACCACGAATCGCAGAAATCGCGCGGTTGCATAAAACGCAGCCAACCGCCAACTCAAAAAATATTGAAAATAAAAATCAAACTCTCGAGCGGCTACAAAATATGGCAAACCAAACACAACTTTGAGAAGTTAAACGGCCAAAACGGAGAGTTAGCCAGAAATTGAGCAAACGAAAGAGAGGGATTGAGAGATTAGAGCCGAAATACATTTTGGCTAACAAATCTTAAATGGATTGGATTTGAAAATTGTGTTTCAAGACACAGAAAAAAATCAGTTATTAACTTGTAAATTTTCAAATTTTGCATTCTTTAATTCTTAAAATTTTACAAATCGTTATATTAAACACCTTAAAAATCGTATTATTTTAAGATTTATATTAACAACACATTTTTTTCAAAAAAATAACAATAAAGCAGTGCATGAATAGTTTCAAAGTTTTTCAGAGCCTATTAATGGCATATGATCTCCGATCTGTGACTTTGCTTTCGACCTTCGGGCAGGTACTTGAAAGCCCGGCTTTGCCATACTCTGTTTTGGCTTTATGAACTGTTTTATTTTTTTTAACTTAGTTTAATGACAACCCAAATTGGTTTTCATGGCAGACGGAACTAAGTACGCGTATTCACCAAAGGTTACTGCCATTTGTGGCAAAGGCGCCAAAAGCAAAATGAAAAATAAATAAAGACAAAAAAAGGTGGAAAATAGTGTTAAACAGAAATAGAAACCGGAGGGAAAAATGCGAATGCAAATGCAAGGCAAAGAAAGTGCGCCGGAGCTGCAAAGAAATGGCACAGAGTTGCGAAGTGAAGAAAGCAAAAACTGGTTGGCAGCAATTTTTCCGTCAGAGCATGACTCTTTATGGCTGCAGAAGTTACATAATGAGTCCATCGTCATCTCGATCGGAGGTGGCCATCCAGTCGGTCCACTACCACTTTGGTAATGTGTCCCCAATTTCGTTTTTGCCCACCTGAACAGCTGATTACCATCTCTTTATGCTGCTCTTTATAAACTAGAGTTTCTCTTTGTTGGAATCAAATAAAAAAAAGCCTACGTGTGTTTCGGCAGGTGAGTCTTTACAGCCTTTGTTTTTTGTTTGTAAACATACATTTCCGGCAGCCTAAAAACTTGCAAGAAAAACGCTAAACAAACGTTTTTAAAGGACTTTCACTTTCTCCATGAATTTCAAAATCTTTAAGATCGTTAGATTAAGTAAACAGATAGGTTGCATGGCACAGAGAGAAATTCATTACTTACTAAGAAATTTCCTTGTGAATAAAGTTAATTTTAAAATAAATAAAAACTTAAGTGGTTATCTTAAATAAGCTTACATTTTAGAAACGTCGCTAGCTAATTTAGAATTTCCTTGGGATAAAGATTAGGATTAATTATATCATTTAAATTTTGTATATATCAGAAATGATTTCCCTTAACTAAAAGTTTTACAAATAGCTCTATTATATCTTACAATATCCCAGTGTACTTCAAACTAAAGAGAGTGGGAGGGGAAGCCATAGTTTAAGTTTGAACCAAACTTTGAAGCTCCAACTCTCTTTGAAGCTTTCTGGCGCTCTCTTCGTAGAGCTCGGCTTTCGGCCGCTTGTCGACTAGCAATGCAATTCAGTTGCCAAACAAATCGCGATCGGCAAACATCTTCGCAGAGCTCCGCCCATTTTTAGCTTTACCGTTACGCCAGTGATCGGGGAATAAAATAAATATCAATATCGGAAAAACCATGGCCAAGTTTATTGCTCTGCTGTTGCCCGTAAGTTCCGGATAGTTTTGATATTCACTCGGATTGGAATGGGAGGTTGGATTCTAGGGTTTGCCTCCCCAATTAACACGTCTTGGAGTCCACTGACACAATTTCCGCCTTTTCTACGCGAAAGTCGCAGCCAAAAGAAAACCGTCTGCGATCGTCGGAAATTGTGACTTGAATTTCCAATGAGCCCGCGTCGGTTCTTCTTTCGAAATCCATTTGTTTTTCGGCGGCCAGACAATTGACACATATCCAAAAGCAAACCAAACCGTACATATGTGGGCCAAATTCGAAGGCTCTCTCTTCGGTGGTGGAGAGACCTTGAAAGACACGATCCAGCAATCTTTCTCTCTTCCTCTCTCCTGCTCTCTTGGCCAAGTTGAAAAATGTGTCATAATCAGTGGGCAACAAGTTGTGGCCAAGTTGCGCATCGTGCCTATATTGTTGGTGTAATTGCATAACCAGCGTCTTCAACCGTTTCTTCGAAGTTGGTTAAACTGCCAGTACATTTATTACCACTTTCGTGTAGCTGACACAGTGAGCTATTCAGCATTTGCTGCTTTTTAATGTGATGTTTAACTTCCCTAAATCGGGGTTTGGCCAAATCAAACTACTTTCTCTGAGAGATGTTTTTAATTACAAATTTAATTCAAAATGCGACTTTTACTGAAAGCACGCGAGTACTTAAAATTTCCCTAATCACATAAAAACATTAAAAACGAGTCGTTAATCTAACAACTTCTGCACAAATTATGTATAATAATCACTATAAAAGCTGATTTCCAACCTTCTTCCAAATAACATACTTCTAAATTAATTTTCTACTTAAAATCTTTCAGAAGATAAATGGATTTGCAGTTTTGCAGTTTGACAAAACTTCCATTCTTTCTTAAAAATATTAATTTTATTTATATATATTTTTCGTTTTATTTTCCAGCTGCTTCTATTTATTCTAGCATTTATGGCCCACACCTCCCTAGCCACAGTTCAGCCAAAGGCTCCAAACTTTCAGTACTTCGAAAGGTACTTTAAAATCTTTTATCAAAAGCCAATAAAATAACAATTAACTATTTTTCCAGGCCCAAATACCGTTACCCCTATTACGATGAACATGGTCGCGGAAAGCTACTCTATGGCTATGGTGGACCGGAATTATATCAGTACAAGACCTACACGCCTCTGGAAGGCATACACTAGAGTATAAACTATTTAGATGCATTGTAGCTCATAATTTATGTATTATCCGCTTTATTTAAATTAAAAGTTTTTTTAAATACCAATAACGGCTAGAATTTACTTGTAACATGAACAACAGATGGCGCTGAGAGCACAACCTCACACTTTACAACACTGCTTGATTTTGTTTTAGATAACAGTGAAGCGAAATAAAACTAAATCTGAAATTAAACAATTATAAGATAACTAACTAACTTACTTACTATCAATTTTGAATCCGACTTATAACAGGAATACAATTTTCAAACCATAAGCGCTGCCGGCATATATTTAAACTTCGATAGTATCGGATAATTTTGTTTCGTCCCGGATTGGTTTAAAACAGTTTTACCATCTGGTCACACTTTTGTGTTGTTTTTATCCGAAAAGATCAGAAATTGCATTTAGTTAGAAATAATTAAATAAAAATGTCCCGCAAAGAGGCCCTGTCGCAGTTCATTAATCAGATTCACGGTCGCCCCGTCGCCGTAAAGCTAAACAACGGCGTAGACTACCGAGGTGAGGTCAAATAGTTCAAAACACAATGCCGGCATTCACGTTTTGATTCCTGTCCCGTTTCCAGGGGTTTTGGCCTGCTTGGATGGCTACATGAATATCTGCCTGGAGCAAACTGAGGAATACGTCAACGGACAGCTGAAGAACAAATACGGCGATGCCTTTATCCGCGGCAATAATGTCCTCTACATTTCAACGCAGAAGCGGAGGGTCTAAAATCATAGCGCCTAAGTCTATTTTCTAAATACAACACACTCCAAAAAACGTAATCATTTCAGTAAAATGGTAGTGGGTGTATCGACTCGCTTTCGGATGATTGATCAAGAATCATTGGAATTGCAAAGCCTAAGACTTAATAAACAATAGAAATCTAATAGGCTTCAATAATCTTACCTTTATCTAGATTTTGCAACTCGTAATACCTCTTAAAATTAAATAAGTTATATGGTCAGATTTCGTAGCTTAAGTTTATTTCCATAAATACACTACCTACAGCAGTTAGGACACCAATCCCCACTTAACTTGGGTAGTGGGGAGTGCCGTACTCCCGTGGAATGGCTCCAAAGTGCCGCAGCTGGGGGACTGAATATCCAGATCCGAGAGCAGCAATCAGACGCTCTCCGCGATAACCAAACTTCCGCTCATAGACTGGACGCCAGGAGCGACCAAAGTGCGGATCGAAGGGAATCTCGCTGGGTTGCTGGAACGGCGAGTTGCCAAAGAACAGACGGTCGAAGTAATCCAGCACCGCCTTCTTTTTCTGAAAGTGCTCCAGAAACGGATTGGCGGTGGCTGCGGTTCGGGGATCCTGTGAGGGCAGGTTCTTGAAGTACTGGAAGTTAACCAGATCGACGTTGGAGAAGTCAAAGACCGCGGGCAGATCGTGCAGCGTGGCTAGCACTGGGACCATGGAGCACTGTGCAGCCAAGGGCAATGTTAATGGTGTGATTATTGGCGAATTTAATTGGCCACTTACCATTACGGCCAGTGCAGCAATTAAGACGTATTTGCACATTGCAATTGACGCGAAGATCCTAAGAGACGACGACACCACCTATACGCTTCCCAAGCGGAATTCAACTGATTTGAATAAATTCGGCCAACTGCACGGGCTCGGTGGAAATGCGTCCAATATCCGATTGCCCAGTGATTTGCAATCGCTGCCAGGTCTTGTATTCTGTTGCAATATCCCACCAAATCCCATTACCCAATTCGGCCTGATGGGTCGGTGGACACCGCCACCGAAACCCAGCCAAATGTAACAGTCGTAATTAATTGATATGCATGTCGCATCAAGAGGCGTTCCAATCAAAGAGCTCGTCACCACAGCAGACCCGCTCATTTGAGTTTTGGTCACCGCTGCCGGCACTGCCGACTTAATGCTCGCGGGCGACCCCATGGATCACAATCTTTCGGTCTTAATGAGGCTGCTTTGTTTACTCTCCCCAAGATCGTTGCATCTAGCTGATCCACTCGCTTGATTTGAAATAACTTATTTATTGAAATCATAACACGACAGTTTATTAGCGGATAAATTAGTGCAACATTAAAGAAGCTCTTTTTATTACTTAACAGTTTTATTTCTCATAACTTGACTTATGAGAATGGGAAAACAAGTAATTTGTCATGATATAATTGTATGATTAGTTAAGTTTAATTTATAAATTATGAAAGAAAATCTGAAAAAGGTATGTGATAATGCTCTGAAAGAAAGTTAACAAATAGTTTAGATGCAATTTATTTTCAAAATCTTCAAAAACCTACAATTTACCAACTCCGAGGAAGTCTTCGCCAAATTAACCCTTTTTAACAGATTTTCTGTGAGTTCTAAGCCAATTTCCTATATCCAATCGATATGCAAATGGCAACCGTAACCTGGTGCGTAAGGGGACTGCCAAATTTCTATAGAAACTGAAACAAACAAAGTCTGTGCCTGGGATTGACAGAATTGTCCTTCCCCACAAAATTACGTAAAGTAAAGGTTTAGTTGGCTTTGGTATTGTGAAATACGCACTCATCAAAACACTTTTCAGGCTGCTGTCATACAACCAAATGAAAAATAAGAGTCACAAACACAATTTCAGTTGATAAATCAAGATTTTTAAATTTTTAATGCTATATCAGGAGAGTTATTGTTGAAAGTTAAGAAAGTTTTCTGTGCACAAATTCGGAGAATCGGCCAGAACAATGGCAACCAAACCAGGGAAGGGTGATGGCAAACCCGTGAAGGGGAAGGTAAGTATCCAAGCTATATAGCTTATTTTCCCGATTATTATATATACTACACTTGGAACACTTTACACTGTATGAGCACACATCCTTTCGCCTCGAAGGTTGGCAGCGTAATGGCGAAATCGAGGTCCTTGCTGCGGGCCAAGTCTATTTTTGTGTTTAAAATTTGTTTTGCGCTTATTTGCGCTTACTTTTTAATAAGTTTGTCTGAAAGCTTGGCTCCGTCAGGCAGCTCTCCTTGATGGAACTTTGTCACGAAACATAATTTGCAATTTCCGGGCCCATCCGGTGGCTCAGCGGAGTGTGGAGTGGCCATAGCCACCATGTGCGTGCCAAGCTGGAACAGAGAAATGTACCGGAGCAGAGCAATAGGAGCGGTGCAATTTTGTTACAGCTACCAATTTATTGGACTTGGCCCATACAGCCATCTGGCCTTTGCCTGGCTGATGAGTGTCGAAGTCTCATCAGGCGCAACGCAATAAAAGAGTCTATAAATCACTCACAGATACGACCCTAGGCTCACCTTATTCATTTAGATGCACATCAAAATAAATATGTATTTATGTAAGAGCCAATCTGGTCCGCTGTTATTCCCCATGTCCCCCATTCCCAGGACCTGCTAATCGAGTTGTGTGCAATTTGTTTATTCCACCTCATCCTGTTGTTGTGACGTCAGGCCCGAAAGTTTTTCGCCTTCGTTCGCTGAAGAGGCCGCTGACGTGGCGAACGTCATCACGAATGTCTTGGCTTTAAGTTGAGGCTCCTTTTTTGGGTCTCAGTCTTGCCTCGCCTTTCTCGCCAGACAGATTTTCCCGGGCACTTATTTCCGATTTCCCGAGCTCAGAGCTTTGCGGTAATCCAACAATCTTCAGTTCCTTCTTACCCCACAGAGATCTGAGTATCGACCAGGATGTGGAAGCTAGCCAACAAGGCCATGGCGGTATATGACCATTAGATTCCATCTCCTCTAGCAACTCTTAGCTAACTGAGTAGATTTGTGTGCCTGTGAGTGTGTCTGCAGTGCGTTTCAGAATTACAAGGACATCGCAGGAGATTAGAAAGCTTTGGATTCTACACTAATTACCGGGGGTGCTACAGTAGTAGTGCCTTGTACTCAAACTAATCTGTCCGTTCCCTTAACTATAAATTGTTTTTTAAATTCATTAACCGTACAAATATTTGATAATCACATTCAGAGCACTGTAAATATAGTCACACGATGAAAAATCTTTAATCGCTGGTACTAAAACTTTCCTATTCTGAAACGCACTGCTCTTAGGGATCTGTAAATACCACGAGTGTCTGTGTCTAATGTAAATAACCAATGTCTTTCCATATGTACAACTTGTAAATACAACCTGTAGTTGTTTCTTCCAAAATAAAAGTTCAACTTGTAGTCGTAGCTAAAGTAGGACAGACCGCTACCCATCTCAAATCATAATCAGTCTAGTAGCCAACGCAATGTCAGAAGTTGCGAGTGCGCCAGGAACCGGCGATCCTGAGGAGGATCCTGAGATCGCTTACGACAGCGACTGGGATGGCGACGAGGTAACGACGCCTCCTTGGGATTTGTCCCTATCAACCGATATTTGGATATATGTATCTTCTTTCAAGTCGCATGCCGCATACTGCTTGGTTCTCCTTTCTCATGATCCCTCTCACCTGCCCAAAAAACCAGTTTGCACTCAAATCTTAAGGTATCTGATGATGGCCATAACACCAGGTAAGTGCCCACCCACCCGGTTTTCCCCTCCCAGCTTCGTTTCTTTTCTGGCACCATCAGTGGAATGTTGCATGCACCACACTCCGTAAACACACCCACAAATCCAGTGAGTTAGTCATACTGTTGTTCCAATTTCCCCAGCTGAGGACCTCCAAGAACAAGACCGATGGCGGTGGAGGTGGTGGTGGCGATGCCGATGACTTCGAAGCCTGGATGAAGTCCCGCCAGCTGCTCAAGCCCGATGACCAGCTGGATCTCACAGAGGCCGAGCTTGGCGAGGAGATCACAAAGGTGCTAACACCCACCAACACCAACGTTATCCGCAATCTTGTGGTCTATAGCTTTAAGGAAGGCGAGTTTGTGCTGGCTCCGGTGCCGGGTAATACCGTCACTCTGATCGCCTTTCCTGGAAATTCACTTCACGTGGACTCTGAGGAGGGTAGGCGCCAGATAGAGGAGTCTGATGAAATCGGCTATCCACTTCCCATGCCCAACTACACGGTGGTGGAGCAGCGCGAGACCGAAAATGCTGATGGGGAGGAGGGTGAAGGGGAGGAGGACGATGATGGCGCCAAGTGAGTTAGGATAACCTCCATAGAAATGGCGATTGAATTTTCCAAGTTTTAAGAGCCAAAGCCAAAGCATAACCATTTAATTATGATTATTTTTTATATTTCAGCGCAAAGGACGCTGGTGGCGAAGAGGAAGAGGTCGAGGAGGAGGACGACGAGGAGGGCAAGGGAACCGAGGGCGATGAAGGCGAAGGGGAGGGTGAAGGGGAAGGTGCCGCTCGAGCCGATGAAGAGCCCACCCAGCAAGCTGCGGCCATTTCTTCGAAAAAACGAAAACTGATTAATCAGTTCAACTACTGCGAACGGGGTGCTCTCACCGTTTCCAACCCCAAGAGAGTGAGTGAGATCTAGAGATTATTATTTGATTTAAACATTAACCTTTCTTGCAGAATGTGGACACCCAGACCATTCCTCCGCCCCGCTCCCAGTTCGGGGCCAATGTGCTACAGTGGAACATCTACGATTCCTATATGGAGAACTTTGCGGAACAACAGAAGGATGGTGGTAAGAAGGAAGACCGCAAACGTGGCAGAAGGGAAAAGAAGTTCAGAGACAAGTCGGCCATTGCTGAGCAACTTAACAAGAAGTATCTAAAGTGCTGGCAGATCCTGGAGCGCATGATCAACCAGAATATCTATGATGACATTGCCCATGACTATCGCTATTGGGAGGATCCCGCCGACGAGTTCCGGGATGGAGAGGGTAACCTGTTGCCCCTCTGGAAATTCCAATATGACAAGACCAAGAAAATGAATGTCACCGATATCTTGTTTAATCCTAGCTATTACGATCTATTTGCCGTTTGTTTTGGATCGCGTAAGTTCTCCAAAACTAATGATCAACTTCACTAAAGTACCTATCATAATCTCTTTTAGACGACTTCATGAAGCAAACCAATGAGGGTTACCTGTGTCTCTTCACCGTCAAGAATCCTTCATTCCCGGACTACATAAGTAGATATTAGTTCTCCTTCTGCCATTTGGTTACTCATGGCCCAAATTCTCTGCCCCAAATCTTAGTTCAAACCGACAGCGGGGTCATGTGCTGCGACATCCATCCTACGTATCCTTTTCTGGCTGTGATTGGACTTTATGATGGAAATGTGGCTGTCTACAATCTACGCGAGGATTGCAAGGAGCCACTTTATGTGTCCAAAGGAGTTAACTGCAAGCACGGCGAGTGTGTGTGGCAGATTAGATGGGGTCGCGACATGGCCGATGGCGAAGTGAACTTCTTCTCGGTGTCTTCCGATGGGCGGGTCTTCAACTGGATCCTCATGCAGAATAAATTGTGGGTAACCACGATCATCACATTGTACCGCGAGAACGGACTCGTAGATGGACCTGATGGGACAAAGGTCAGCCTGAAGAGCGGAGGATCCTGCATGGTGTTCCATCCTACTGACAACCAGGTATTTTAATGATTTAGGTTTATGATAGGTTTATGTGATCGAAAGACTATATTTTTAATGCTGTCTGTGGAGAACTAAGAAAATCATATTTTTTTCCAGGTTTTTCTTGTGGGGACCGAATGTGGCTTCATCTACAAGTGCAGCACCGCCTTTAGTTCCAAATATCTGATGACCTACAACGCCCACAACATGTCCGTCTACCGTATTGACTACAACCGCTTCAATAGCAACATATTTGTCTCCTGCGGCGCCGACTGGCGGGTTAAAGTCTGGGAGGATATGCGGGCTGATCCGCTCTTCATTTTTGACCTCGGTGCCGCGGTAGGCGATGTCAAATGGGCTCCTTATTCGAGCACCGTATTCGCTGCGGTCACCACTGAGGGAAAAGTGCACGTCTTTGATTTAAATGTGAATAAGTACAAACCTATCTGCGTTCAAGCTGTGGTGCCGAAACGCAAGAACAAGCTCACTAGGTTATCCTTCAACGAGAAGCTCGCCTTCATTGTGGTGGGCGACGAAAAGTAAGTACTTTGGTCAAGTCGATCCCAAGCCCATTTTACGTCTTGCTTACCTTCAGGGGAGTTACAACATCACTAAAGCTATCGCCCAATCTCCGAATGATGGTCAAACCGCCGAAGAAGCAGCTTTATCTCGACCAGAACACACTGCAGATTGGCAAGTTGGAGAAGCTCCTTTCCCTGGTCCGGGAGCTTCCAGAAGGAACTGTAGTACCCGATGCAGCCACAACCGTGCGAAGCTAAATCCAAACAAGAGATGGCTATTAGCCAGCAGAAGAAAGAACACTATAGTCTGACTTTATGTATTATATTTTACACATATAGATCTGCTGGTTCTAAAAGAATCTTGATTCATCCGTCTTTTGTTGTTTTATCTTCCTATCAATCTAACATAAATTTGCTATCGAGGTTCGGTTGAAGTCAACCAACAAAAGGAACTTAAAAAATCACAAAATTGTATATATGCTTAAAAACAAAATAAACATTTAAACTGTAGTCAAATCCATCTGGTGTTTAACAAAAGTGTTTGAGGACTGAAATATCTTAAGAGTCTTAAGAGCATATAAAATATTGTACTTTTAATGCTTATTTCATTCCAATAAAATTACCTGCGAATTGCTCAGTTCGAGAACTGAACTGGCAGACAAAAAATTACTTATTCCAATTGGCTTTTTCTTGGAATGTTATTCCTTATTAATCACGATTGTATTAGTCACTGATCTTGATCAGTAAAATCAGTATTCAGCAGATTAAAACATTGTCAGGAACCGAAACTTAAAATATCGTTTTCACAGACACTTTTTTCATGAAGGCCATGAAAGTTTGTGTTTTTAAAACTGACACTTTGACTACATTGGCTCAATCCTCGTCCGCATCCAAGTCAGCGGACTTGACCTTAATGTGCTTCTCCTCAAGGTACTCCAGCACATTGTTTGGGCACATAACACTCTTGCCCAGAAAGAGCACCGTCGACATGGGATGCAGGTAGTCCGCAGAGAAGGTTGTGGCTTTCCATCCAAAGAATCCACTGGGCTTTGCCTCTGTTCCGGTAATTGAATAGGGCAACAGATTGACGCCTACTTGGTTGGGCTTTGAAAATTGGACGCGGAAGTAGTGGCCGTCGGTGGCCTTGATCCAGTAGAATCCCTCGTTATCCACGTAAGGCTTATTCTGCGATTTTTTCATTGCATTGGATCGCTCCAGATCCTGGACATTGAAGCTAATATCGATATCATAGGCATCCGGAGAAAGGTGATTCGTTTCGATGGCGCTCTGCAGGGCCCCGATTGTCCAGCCAGTAGCGAATGCCCACGTTTTCGAACTCCTCCAGCACATGGTTGAAGGTGGTTCTCAGCTTGTCCAGGCAGCAGGGTGGGGTATGCTTGCCCAGGTAAGAGTAATAGGGCCTCTCATTGTATACACTACCGATGCAGGACTTGGTTGTCCGTTCACAGCCGAACAAATCAATGTCTGTAATCAGGGGCAGCGAGGTGTTCGAGGACGAGAACTGGCCATCAAGGACCAATCCGTGCCCCTGACCCCACACCTCCCTGGCCTGGGCCTTTCCGGGAACCCTATAGGCCCGCCTAACGATCCGCTTGATTTGTAGCTTCTTGTACATCTCCCGGAATTGACGACGGCGTAGATCCATCCTCCGCTGTTTGGTATGAAAGGATGCGAACAAGCGACGACCCTCCTGGAATGCTTGCGGAAACACCGTGGTCTGAAATAATTTCTATTGAAGTTCCGGCCTAGGGGAATCAAAATGAGCTACTCACCGACAGATTGGCGACCTTAGCCTGCATATAGAGCATTTCCGGGAAGGGCAGGGTAAAAGGCTCTGGCATGGCTCCCAAAGCACCTGCATCAAGAAGGATCGCATGTTTCTGCAGGAACTGTTCAGGAAATGGAGAAGATAGAGTTTTTTAGTATTAGATACTAACAAATAAAGTTCATATATTTTCACCCACCAAATCACATCTTCTTGTGTCATTGGTGGCTGCCAACTCCAGCGTCCAGTCCGGCAAATCCAGGGTCATCCTGACGCAGCTGCTGAAGGACTTGAGGTTACCGGCAAAGGGTATGAGTACCATACGGCGCACCGTCTCCTCCGGCGGAACAGGAGGACGCTGCTCCTTAGGCTGTCCCGGCAGGCCCAATGAGTTAATCTCGCGCAAGATCTTCTGCAGGATATTCTTGCTACTCAGTCGTACACTGTCCGGCATAATAAGGACGTACTTGGTCCGGATCGAGGCCAGGGGATTGAGTTCCTGCCGCGTGTGCCGCACATCGAAGGCCAGGCTCTGGAACACCACGGTTCTCTCCTCTCCCGCGGTTAGATTCCGCTCGTAGTTCACCGGCGGGTAGGCATACTCAGCACCGCCGTCTTGGAGTACCAAGATAGGCATGTTGGGTATCACGTCCAATATGCTATCTATGCTAGCCCTCAGATCTTGCTCAAAGTTGTAGTGGCCGTAGAACACGATGGTAATGGACTTCCGGATGTGTTTGTTGGCATTGCGCACCTTATCTTTGGGCGATAGCTTGGCTGCCTTTGGCGCCTCCTCCACCGCCAGTGAGTCGCCGGAGAGAGCTCTACTAATCCGGCGCCAGAGCAGCGTATTCCAGGTGTAATAGAAGAAGACCAGATTGGCTAGCAGAAATCCTAGCAGGAGGACCTTCACCAAACGCAACCGGAACACCTTCATGGCGGATGACAGGAAGTGCTCTAAAATCTTCTGACGGTGTGTGTATCTGTATCTATATCTGCTCCCGGGTATCTACACTGCATCTACATGGCTAGCAGGCGAATCCTTAGACCACACTGACTTCGACTCCAGATCCTTCCAATGGTGAATCCTCCACTCATTCTCGAATTTTAGTTGACTCGGCGAAAGGACTCATTTAACTATTTATTTCTGCCTTTGAAAACTTTGTTTTTGTAGCTATTCCTTTTTCCTCGGCTATGCGCAAATACAGATTTCCTCCCCCTGCGGAAAAGCGCTTTCAGCTCGAACAGCTGACGGTACCGGAGCTGGAAAAACGGAAGGAAAGCTTTTTCCCAGGATAAGTGACCGTTTATCATGCCGGTTTCAAAAGCTTTTCCTTACGCTTCTCTAAGCAATAACTATTTCTGTTATTATCATTGTCGGCGTTTCAAGAAATATTTATTTATATTAATTTATCACACTTTGGTTTAGTTAAATTCTTTTTAGAGCAGTTTAGGAAAGAAATATAAAAATAAATGTTTTTATTTTCATAACGAATTAGAAATCTTTCAAAACAGTAAAAGCATTTATTTATTTAATTCAATACAATATAAAATATTTATCTGAGACAATGTTTATCAGGTGCGTTTCTGCAATATCTGGCATTGTTCTCGACGGTGGTTTTATAAAACGTCTCAAGAGTACCAAAATGCACTTCTTTCTCAGGTAGTTCTAAAATTATTACTCTGTTACGGTGGTTTCTGTAAAATCAAAGATGTATTTTGTAAAACATCCATTTATAATTCTGATGTGTAGGAGATCCATTGTAATATAAAGTTTATCTCTTCCGGATGACTACTTTCCCATGCCGGCGAAAAGAAGTGGGAAGGGCACCTCGTCGGTTGTAAGGATCTGAGGAGTGGGTGGTCTTGCTTCACCCTCAGTGGTGCTATTTAGCCAGTAGGTTGTCACCGTGCCCTTGCCCTTCAGCTCGACATCACCGCGTTGCTCCATCTGGAAGGTGCCGAATTTATCCAGAATGGCCTTGGTTGCCGAGGAAACGTGAATCTTGCCGGGCTGACCGGTGCTCTCCATTCTCGAAGCCGTGTTGACCGTGTCCCCGAAGAGACAGTAGTGTGGCATCTTCTTGCCCACGACACCTGCGCACACGGACCCCGAATGCATTCCTATGCGGATCTGGATTTTATATTCCGGCTTATGGCGAAGATTAAAGGAGCTGACTGCCTGAAGGATATCCAGAGCCATCAAAGCAATTTCGCGGGCATGCTTATCCCCATTAGGTTCTGGTAGGCCAGATACCACTAAATATGCATCGCCAATTGTTTCCACTTTGTAAACGTCGTAGAATCCAATGATCCGGTCGAAGGTGCTGTAGAGGTCGTTCAGGAAATTTACCACATCCATGGGGCTGCTGCGGGCACAAAGTTCCGTAAAGCCGACGATGTCACTGAAGTATATGGTCACGCTACTGAACTCCTCTGGCTCCACAAGGTCACCGGCCATTAGCTGCTGGGCCACGGGACGCGGAAGTATTTGGTAAAGGAGCTCCTCTGTGCGCTGCTTCTCCAGGCTCAACTGTCGGGTTTTCTCCTCGACGAGACTCTCCAAATTGTTGGCATATTGTTCCATACGGTTTAGTAGGTCGTCCATTAGATTCTCACAGAATCCTCTGCATTTGGAAATTGTTATAAGTCTTAGACGACTTATCCAAATACGATACTTACTTCATTATAGTGCGAATATTACTGCGAATCGTTGAGAATGTGGGTCTTTCTTCCTGGTTGTCTGCCCAGCATTTCTCCATCAGTTCTAGCAAGTCCGGCGGACATTCCCGTTCTCGTATAAGCGGACGGAATCCATTGCACTGCCGCACCTTGTGCAGGATCGTATGGACGTCCATCTGCTGACGGGCCTCCTGATACGGTCCACCACGATTAACAATCTCTTCTAGAATTATGCCAAACGAGTAGACGTCGCCACGCTGCGTAGCTGGACAGCAGCCCGGAATTGAGGTCAGTGGCAGCAGCTCCGGCGCAATCCACAGAAGCTCTGAAAGGTTTGCAAAGGTGAAAAGGTCTAAACATGAAAAAAAGGAAATAAGTCTCTCTACAAACTTACTCAAATAGTAATTCTGATCCCTCACAAAATCAGACGGCGTGGTCAGGGTTCTCAGGCCAAAATCAGAGATCTTAAGGACGAATCGTCCGTCGATTAGGCAGTTGCAGGATCTTAGTTTGCCATGGGCAGCCACATCACTGTTGTGGAGGTAGTTCATTCCCTTGACGATGTCATGGATAAGGGACATGCGGAAGTTCCAGTCCAGCTCGATGGCCTCGTTCTCCAGCACATCCTTTAAACTGCCTCTCGAACAATATTCGGTTAGGATAAGCACCGTGGGTCGTGGCAGATCAATGCAGGCGCCCACGAACCGTACTGTGTTCTCGTGGCTCACATCTCTTGCCTGCTTAATCTCCCATAGAAGCTGCGGGGTCAGATCCACCTTCTTGACGTTCACCTTCTTAATGGCCACTCGCTCACCCTTGAACTGTCCAATTGTCGTGTACACCTGCGGCGGAAGCGAAGTGAAGCTGGCAATCGAGGCCCTTCCCGAGTGGATTCCGAACTGCTGCAACGAGATGTTCTCCACATCTAAACGCTGTAGTCCCCCCTTGGATCCAAACATGCCTCCCATCTCAATCAGGACGTCATCGGGTCGCACGCGCCATGACATGTTGTTCAGTTCTTTGCTGAGTTTCATTTGCCTAAAACCATGTTAAAATTGTATTTTATTTAGTTACATTTTTTATATTTAAGTATTTAGCACAATCTTATTTTCTTAATTTTACTAACTTACTTTTGGAGAAGGCAGATAACCAGAAAAACGAGACCCAAAAAGGTAGCCAAGCCAAATACGGAGTACATTATAGTTGAAACTGTAATTGAAAACTATAGTAAAATAAATACGTAATCAAATCAGGTGGATCTTACAGTTTCCTATACAATCTGTTGAGCTTCCTAGGAAACCACAGGGCGGTACATCCGGTGGGGGTTCCTCTCGTCCACCTGGCCAATGTATCTTCTTACCATGAACAGCTGAATATACCCTTTAAAAGAAGTTTAAACAAATTGAAACATATTTCATAGAATAGCAATTGAATTCCTTACTTGTGAACACCAGAGTAGTGGGCCACAACGGAAAACTTCCCATTGATTGGATCCAAATCCAGAATTGAGTAATCCGCATCACGGTCGCCATTGTCGTCGATTCGTACATGTCCAGTGATACCCTCAAAGGTGCGGTTCCACATTCGCCTCGTGATATTGACGCCATCCCTGATGTCACCTCCCTCGGTTAGGGTCTCGTTCAAGGCCATTCCCAGCAGGTATACGCCATCGTAGAATGCTCCAATGAAAAAGTTTACCTCCTCGCCCTCGCCAAACGTATAGTTGTAATCGTAGAGAGCATTTTCCCGCACATTATCGGCAAAGTCCTGGAACTTGGGACTTGTTGGCTGCAAGAGACTGACCCTCAAAAGGGCCTCGTACGCCTTGCGTGCCTTGGCGTCGTGCTCATCCTTCATCTCCCACCCCTTGTCGCCCCAATATTCGCTCTGGAAGATCTCTACGTCCAGGAAGACCCACTCGCCGTTGGTCATGCCCAGACTATGTGCCGCCAGCATGAACTTGCGGACCAACACTCCGCGAACAGAAAGGATAACAACTGAAGAGGAAAACAAGTTGGAAAATATGAAATAAAATATCTTAAAATCAGTATCTTTTGATGGAAAATTAACCTCTTGCATACATGCTGGCATCCTTTAGATAGTTTTCGTATATTTCCTCCTCATTTCCATTGAGCTCCTTTACAAAACTTAAAAGTCCCTCCTGCCGCAGTCCGTACTCCAGGTTCTTGCCCACCGTCCACGAAAAGAGCTCTGATCTGTCCACCAGCAAGGCCACATGTTTCCAATTGAACTGCCGAATGACACTGGCGAAGACCAGGATAAGCCGGCACTGGCAGTAGGACATCCTCGTTAGAGTTGGGTACTTAGACTTGTCCTTGAACATGCCCTGCAAGGAATAAGAGTATCGAGAGGGCTAGTAGCCCATTGCTCAAGCCAGGAATGGTTCAAGCCAGGCAGTGAAATAGATACTAAATAACAACACCCTAGTGTAGTTTGTATATTTTTTTTTAATTAAAAGAAATATAAAAATAAAACTTTTCTACTCGGGACTTACCGTGTTCTCGTTCTTCCACTTATGTATCCTCCCCAGGATTCCAGAAGTCACAGTGAGCTCACCCTCTGAGGAAGGTGGCTGGCAGCAGGCGGGCGAAGGGAGAAATGAGAATGTCATTTGCCAATAATACGGGGAAACTTAAATGCAAATTAAAGAGCAAGCCGAAAACCATTTAATTGCCAATGTCAAGAGTGCGGCCATGACAATTAAGTGGGCTAAAAGTGATTGCTTCTGGCTGTGCCCGGATGTGGAATAAACTCGAGCTTGAGTTTCCGTATTCCACAGAGTCGAAGGCCACATAATTGAAAGCAACATGCTGCGTCGCTTGACACGCGACTTGGAAATCCTGCCCCTGCATCCTCACCTGATCTCCCATGCCTGTGATGATGGGTGTGTTCCAATAGGCGGCCAAACGTGCAACTGGCTCAAGGGCAAAGGCGCAGGCTGGTCCAATAAACGCGATTACGTCGTCCTGAAAATGCATGTCTGCAGCAAGGCCTGGAGCCCGAGCACCCGAGCAAGAAGGATAACTAAAGAAAAAAGTAATAATAAATATGCAAAAATAACTCAGAAGATTTTTTCGGCAGAATAGAAAGTGATATCAAACTAAAACTTTTAATGATTTATATAAGTAAAAATATCTATATTTTGCTTTACTAACCTTCCTTTCTTTTTCAACAGCGTTATGTTATGGGGCTTCAAGAATACTTTATTGATCTCATCTAAGGCCAAATCTACGGCTGGACCACAACGCTCCAGATCAAATGGGGAATCTAGTAATGCCCAATGTCCAGTTCATCATCTAATCATGAACCAACTATCCAAGTACTTACCCAAATGAGAAGCCATTAGTACTCCAACATTGTAGACACGCATCTGGCCCATTTCACCGGTCTCACTGTATTTGGGAAGCTGATGGGTCTTGGCCTCCCTACTCCTCTCGAAAAGCTTTAAGTCTGAACCCATGTCACTGCCATTAAACCCAACCATCGATGTGGTGGCATCCAGACTAAAATCCTTATTCAAATCATCCCAGATGATCTCATTGCGCCTGGGATTGGGATGTGCACTGTAGGAATCGGCGAAGATCAGAAAGAAAACGTTGATGCTGATCCGAAGTAGATGCATTACGATGAGTCCTTAAACAAGTATCTGTATCATAGAAATAGTTCATTTAAGAGGCATTTAAAAATGAAGAATAAGGTCTTTTTAATATGGGTAAGCCTTTTATGAGTAGATTTAAAGGTTATTTTTTTATAATAACACAAAACAACCATTCATTCCGTCATTCATTCTACATAAACTGCGGAATTTAAAGAAGATTTAGAAGGATTTAATGCTGTGAAAATACGAATTACGACATTAAAGGTCTCAAGACCCATTCAATATGAATATTAATCACAGCGAAAGGACGCCATTCACTGATTTAATTTTATGGCTTTACTTTTACCCAAAAACCTGCTGAGATCTTCAATTTTCCAAACAGCACTTGGTTTTCAAGGGACACATATAAATTTGAAATTAATTCAAATCGCAATAGGGCGTAATGAGGCGCGAATAATTGTCCATTTAAACTCGAAAATGTTCAGCTGTCTGACACTTATTTTGGAACATCTTTAAATTTAAAGCTCCAAAAGGTATCCAAATATTGAATGTTGTAAAAGGGCACTTTTTTAAGTTTTATGAGAACAAACACTTCACTGGTTCCAATTGTATTACCGAAGGATTATAGGGGAAAGTTCGCCCGAAGCACGTTAATCGAATGAGCCAGCGGCTAGAGCTGTTGGTCCTTTTATATCTGCCGGGACCTCAGCTCGGCCCAAGTCCTCCTGGTGCCCGAATCATTACGGCCAATGGCAGAACAGCAAATCGGTGGCCAACTGGCTTCGTCTTAACGGAAAGTGAATCTGTAGGTTAGGCGAACAAGGTTTTATGGCCTCACTTGTTGCTCGTCGGCTAAATTTGAATGGCAATCGTTTGGAAACGCCGTCGCGTGCTCCCAGAAATTAATGCGACTCTTTGGTGTCACTCGTGCAGACTGCTTTAAGATGACTTCGGCTTAATTTCCCCGGCGTTTAATGAACTCAAATCTTAAAATTAAAGCTGATATTTCTTAAAAACAAAATTGAAATTCTTAAAAATAACGTTGCTGTTTAACTAAATTACACTAATACACATTATATTATATTATATTAATTATATTTATATATTAATTATATTTATACACATTTGTTATACTTCGATTTTGACAGTTAGTCTTAACATATTTTCTGAATTATTTATCTTTTAAGATAAAATTAAAAGACCTCCAACGATTTTTTGTTTTAATAATTTACAATTTATTTACTGATCGGATTTGATATTACTAAACTCATTTGCGCTGCAGACCGCCACCAGGGCGAATCACACCAGCAGCTGCCTTTTTCACCTCTTCGATTGCATGCATCATGCGCAGTGGCTCAGTAAGAAACCATATCCACAGGACTACGCTATAGCGCCACAGCTTATCCTTCTCCTAGAACATCGAAAAAGATAAAACGTAAAAAGGTTACAGTATATGATTGGATACCCTCACATAATAATTGTGAACTTACAATGCGTCCGCGAACGTTTTCTAGAAAATCTATGCGCAAGGATCGCACAGCCTCATCAAGACGATTTTGTTGCTGTGTGGTATTGTAAATGGCGCTTAAATAGCGGACATTCTCAAACATAGGCTCTTCAATTGGGGAATCGTAGACAAACGGTCGCAAGGTCTGCTCCAAACGTTTCCTGTGACAAAAATATAAGAAGTTAGTCTTTAAGAAAACGCGGAATTTGCAAACTCACAGTTCTGCCAGCTGATCGTGGACAGTCGCACAGGACTTCCTATTCAACATGCTCTGAAACGAGTGCGAGAGCAGACGCCCAAACTTTTCGTATTCAAAAAGACAAGCCTTGGCCTCGTTAGTCTTTATGTTTTGACCTAGATGGGCCGACAATAGATTGCCAATCTCCTGCACAAACTGAGAGCAAATACCCTGGTGGCTGGCATTGATGGAGCGCATGGTCTGAATTCTCTGCCAAGTGTCCTGCGCTTGGTTCCGTAGCTCTTCCGTTGTGTCCAGGCAGTTGCGCTTCTTGTCGCAATCCAGCTGAATCGCTATCCACAGCAATTCGGCATTGGAGAGGGCATCAGATATGATTTTGGTAAGCTTTTTGTCGCTTTCGTGACGCCGAACAGCTCTATCCAATTTGAGTTTTGTGTTCTCATAGAGGACGAGCTCAATACGTCGCTGGGTGTGCTGTTGAATGTGTATAGTAAGATCATTTAAGAGAGTGTCGTGAATGTTGCTCAGCTGGTGATCGTTTAACAGCTGCAAATCGTGCATTTCACGCGCCATATCCGCCAAACTAAGGCAATGAATGTGGCCTAGATCAAGCTGTTCAATCAAAGCCTGCGTCGCCTTGGCCTTGGCAGTTGTTCTTATATAGGAAAGGGCATAAAACTGGATGCTGAAAAAATAATATTAAACAGAGTTTATTGCTTCAATAAATACTCTTTTTTACTAACCCGAGTTGCAAGTCCTCTAGCTTGCTTTTCTCACGCAGAAGATCTGCTTCTGCGCTCTGGAACTCATCATAGTCCTGGATCTTAAAGTTTTCCTTCACATACAGTGTAAAGTATTGCATAAACGAGTCACACTTGTGGAAATACTGTTCCAATGGCAGTTGATGCATGAAGAGCGGCGGTAGCTGCTGGGATGTGAAGGCCTTCTTGGCCTCGCCGCTCAACCGGCAATTCTCCCTCTGCAGTTCCTCCAGTTGCTTAGCTTTCGATTGGCATTCGGCTATCAGATCCCTTTCCTTGCTTAGCAGCTCAGCGGTAGCACACTCCACCTCGCTCAGGTGGTTATTTATCGAGTGCTTTGTGTTTCTTCAAATGGAAAATGTAAAAATGATATAAAAATATAAATTAAAAAACTTAATAAAAACAGTCAATGGCCACCAAGCCCTTAAGCAGGTGTCTTACCCCATGTCCTCCAGGAGCGTGGCATAATCCCCCAAGGCCTCCTCGGTCGCCTCAATCCCCATATTCAAGGCGTCGACATCTGGTTGCTTATAATGAAGAAGGCCAGGACTCTCTGACTCGATCTGGAGCAGCTTTAACTCCCGTTCCGATTCATTTAGCCACTCGTCCCGCAGTTGCATCTCCTCCCGCTCCAGAACCTGCCGCTCCGTGAGAATATTGGCATCCGTGATATTTCCGGAGAGGAACTTAAAGAACTTCTCCATCTGCTCATCGTAGAGGATCCACTGGTTCGAGCTGTCCACGCCGAGTTTTTTAAAAACTCGGAGTTCTGAAATTGGGGAGCGTTAATAATTGAAATTTAATTAAACTATTAAACTTACGCTCAGTAGATCGCCCATCTTTTAAAAACACTGAATGAATATCGATAGATCGATATATTACAGCGTCACAGATAGTGATGATACTTTACCTTATTGAGGCTTTTAACTGAATTAAAATGTAATGTATGATAATCTAAATAATAATTGTATTTTAGGGAGTTAGCTACTATATAATTAGGCTATTTACTGTTGAATATTGATCAATTTATATATCTGTACTTCCGCCCCTGGTACTGGAAGGTACTACAAAAAATACCAAAACAGTTCAAATTACACCCTAACGCCATCTGGAATTGGAGCTTGCAGCCCTGGTACCGCTTTTGGACGCATTTCATCTGGCATTCTGGCAACCCTACACTGGATGACAAGTAAATTTTATTTTGCAAAATAAACTTGTAAATTAGTATATTCGTTAACAATGGTAAGTAGGTGGCCCAGGCGCCCGGTGTGGGTCCAAAAATAAACCATAAGGCCCTTTGACATTAATAGATGATAAAAGTGTTGCTAACATTATTCTCTGTTCTTCGTTAGGCGCGTCGCTATGATTCCCGCACCACGATCTTCTCGCCGGAGGGCCGTTTGTACCAGGTGGAGTACGCCATGGAGGCCATCTCGCACGCCGGAACCTGTCTAGGAATCCTCGCAGAGGACGGCATCCTTTTGGCCGCCGAGTGCCGCAGCACAAACAAACTTCTCGACAGCGCCATTCCCTCGGAGAAAATCTACCGCCTGAATGAGTAAGTTGAGATTGGCAATCGGTTTAATATTCTTAAAAATTTGGTTGAATGTAAGGGATAAGATCTCATCTTTTAGGAGAAAATATATTTTAATAGACCACCAAATTGAATCGTCTAAAGACCAGTTTCTGAATAGTTTTGTAAAGCAAAACGTAAATGTGGTTACTCTATTAATAATAGATGATAAATCCAGGACAAACATATTTTTCAATAGCAATACTATGTAATAAGTTTCTTCCTTAATCCTATTACCTAGGAATAAACGAAAAATGCTATTTTTTTATCGTTTTGACTATAATATGGATCACTATTTTTAAAAAACGTAAACTATTAAGTAAATATAACTATTAAATATACCTTTAACTTCTTTACCCTTTAGCAACATGGTCTGCTCCGTAGCCGGCATCACCTCCGATGCCAACGTACTGACCGCCGAACTTCGCCTGATTGCTCAGCGATACCAATTCAGCTACGGAGAGGTGATTCCCTGCGAGCAGCTGGTGTCTCATCTGTGCGACATCAAACAGGCATACACCCAGTATGGTGGAAAGCGGCCCTTCGGTGTATCGTTGCTCTACATGGGATGGGACAACAAGTACGGCTACCAGCTGTACCAGTCGGACCCCAGTGGCAACTATGGAGGATGGAAGGCAACCTGCATTGGAAACAATTTTGGGGCTGCGATCTCTATGCTGAAACAGGAGCTGGCCGACAAGGAGAACGTTAAGCTAACCCTGGAGGACGCCAAGGATCTGGCTGTGAAGGTGCTCAGCATGACCCTTGACACCACCAAGCTGACCCCGGAGAAGGTCGAGATGGCCACGTTGCAGCGTGTGGACAATAAGACCGTATATAGTGTCCTGGAGAAGCCCGATGTAGAGAAGCTAATTGAGAAATACAACAAAGTGCAGGCGGAGGCAGAGGCTGCCAAGAAAGAGAAGCAAGCGAAGCAGCCGACTAAGTAATCCTGAGGATATATAATTATTGATTAAGGGTCTATCCTGATTTTTGTAATCGAAGTTGGAAGAGTGAAATAAAATTTCAAAAAAACAAAAATCATTCTGTCGATTGGGATGGCCGATTAATCGATAACCAAAAACTTGCCATTCGCCCCGAAGATCAACTAAAAATGACCAACTTGGGGCAGTCACTAAAAAAATACCGTACAAAACATTTTGAGAAAAATTCCGTCGCTTTTTATTTGCTGTTGCTGTTAAAAAAACCAATTATACTTGCTAAATTAACGGTTAATCGGTTTCTATGAAGGGTTTTATGCGTAATTAGAAAGTGCGCTCAGAACGCGTGGCGAAAACGGATTGGAAAACATTTTTTCATCATTGCGCGTGTGTGTGTGTGCGTGTGTGCCACAGAAAGTTGCAAGCCTAGAGCTAAATAGGCGCACGGTTGTTAAATATTCCCCGTGCTCTCTCGCTTTATGCAATAACAAAACCTGCAAATTCCCCCATTAAGCGTAAAAATGTGAAAAAAAAATTAAAAAGGAAAAAAAACCAATGGGAATTTCTCAATGTTGTGTCAATACAGCGAGAGCGATGTACGAAAAGTCAAAAGCAAAGGAGAGGAGAATGGAATAACACAAAAAAAGAGCTGAGCCACAGCAAAGAAGCAAGAAGAAACGCGAAGCAGGGGCTAAAAGAAAAATCGAAATAATAAAAAAAAAACCCGCACGCAAGTGTGTGTGTATGAGCGAGTGAGATTCTGTGCGCGTGTGAGTGTTAATGTATGTGTGAGAGAGTGAAACGTATAAATAAAATTCAGCCAAATGCAGAAGCCAACAACAAAATGGATAACAAAACTACACAGTTGGATTTTAAATTACTGGTAATTAAATAATGTTTACCATTACCCCTTGTCCCCTTTCTCCTCATTCGGATATCAAGTACACATACATGGTAGCTGTTGTATAAGTGTGTGTGCAGTCTACATTCCGTGTGACTGCGACTGTCTAATTGAGAGAGCAGCAAAACAACGTGTAATGCGTAGGAAAGGAAGAGAGCGGTAGCGAGAGGAGAGGGCAAAAGAGAGCGTGATAGAAGAGGATGAGGTGGAGGACAGAGATAACAAATGAAGTACAGTGTGCACTGGGTCGTATTTATTGTTGTTTTCGTTGTTGCTTTTGTTGTCTTGTTTGATTATTGTTGCTGTAATGTGAAAAGGTCGTTGTGATTAAATATAAATCGAATTTAGTTTAGCTTCTGTTTTTGCCGTTCAAATCGAGCTCTGCTCTCCAATTGGAAAGCGAAGCACCTGAAGTAAACAAAGAGACGCAGCTAATGAGTTTGAGCGGGAATTTTCGGCCTACATAACTATATATAAAAAGAATTTGAGTAAATCGAACCTATGGTGATTTTTCGTCGACCAGTGTAGCTGACTAGAAGAAGGGTAGTTCTCAAAAATTCCCTCTATTTCTGTTTGCTTTATTATTTTAAAAGCTCCGTTGATTTAGAGCCCCCACAATCGCTTCTTGCACAATTTCCACCCACCCACAATAACACAGACACACGTAAATATTTATTTATACATATATACTCTGTGTGTGTTTGTGTGAACTTCCGCCGAGTCTTTTGCTTCACCCCGCTCCTCCTGCCCCCCGCCGCCCACACCCACTATCCCTATTCAAAGGCAAACCCATACCACTCCCATTTCCATTTTCCTCCATCCATCCCTCTCTTTCTCCCCCTTTCTTTCCCCTTTCGTTGAGTGCCACATAATGTTATTTTTGTTTTTTTCTATTTGCCTCTAAAATGAATTGTAGTCCCCCTGCCTCTCTTTTCCTTTTCTCCTCTACCTCTAACTCTCCTTCGCTACTCCCCACTTTTCGACCCATTTCATCACTGCTATTATTCACTTTTGTTTTGTTTTCCTTCGTTATTTTCGAGAAAATATTTATTTTTACTTTTATTAGTTTATAACAACATTTACATTTACTTTGGCCACACAAGCAAAGCACATTTACATAAATACTAATACTACAAATACTATAAAACCGAAAAGTTTGATTGTATTTCTCTCTCTCCCTCCCGCTTTCTATGTGTGTGTGTTGTTGTTTTGTGGGGCGATGTGGATTGGTTGATGAGAGGGGTGTGGATAGGAGGGGAGTGAATGGGGAGTTCTCTTTTTCTCTTGCATGCATATAAATTCGAGGCATTTCACATGCAGGCGGGAGAGAGACGACAAATCGAGTACGAATGTTCGAAGCAAAGCACAAGTGGAAGAAGAAGAATAGTAAACAGCACTGCACAGTGGAGCAAGTTTTTTATTGCAATTAAGAAGAAAGTTGCCAATAGGATTTAAGTTAACCGATTTGAATGTACTTAAGCGTTAAAAATGATTAAAGCTATACATCTATCTGAAAGCATTGAGGTCATTAAAAACACCCATTCTGTTTGAATTGAAAACACTCTTTGTGCTTTTTAATTAATTCCGATTTGCAGTAATACAATTAAAGTTTTTATCACTCTTAATTAAGTTTACGACATGGATTCATTGCCTTTTGTTTTCCCATCCCTTCCACTTAAATTCGAATTGATTGCAGTGTGTTTTGCTGTGCCAATTTCATTAATAAAACTCTGAAAAAAAAACAAATGGAAAGAGAGGGCGATGTAAATGCTATTTTTATTTGATTAGTACAACTATTTGGATGTACGTTTGTGTGAGTTCCACTTTAAGAGCGTAAATGTGTGAGTGTGGGTGCGAGGGAGACGGCAAGCACTAAATGTATAACATAAATTTTGCTAAAAATGCAGCCAACGTCATGCCCCCACCAAATCTCCCTCTCTAACGGTTCTACCATCTGAACACTACATATATGATAGTGTGTGTGTGTGAATGTACTCATGTGTACCTAAGTATTTTGAAGATAGCTCTTTCGGTCTTTATATGAGAAATAAACAGGTATATAACAATTGCAAGCGAACTAAATATTGTTGTGCAGCAACTAAAGCGGAATATTCATTTACCGAATACCTCACACCCTCCAAGGGATATCCCAAAAGAAAAAACGAATACAATCCAGACAATACATCTACAACTTGGATATTTTTAGTTATCATAAACACATCCACATAACACACTCTCACACCAACTAACATTTAATTAGAACACAAAAAAATTTTCTAATTAAATATGGCATTCGCTTTTCTCTTGCTCAGCACGTCCTAAGCTCTTTTTCTCTCTACCTTTGTGCTCTCTCCTCTTCTCTTCCGTTTTCTCCACAGACAACGGAATTAAGTTTATAATAAAAGTTTATAAATGCTTACATGCACATGTGCGCATAGTTGTACTTGTAATTTTGTGTTATCTGCAATCTAAATTTACAACAACTTTATTGACAAATAAAACGCACAGCTCCCAGCGTTGCCACACAGATAGAATGGGGGAAAATAAATACATAGTAACTATCGTTTAGCAGACTCAATTCAAAATCTTTTGTCAAGAATTACCGTTTTGTTTCCATTTCAAGTTGATTGATTAAAAGCAGCTTGACTAAGAGAAAGTCACTTCGGTTATACACTATTTTTTAACCACTGTTATTCTGTTTTATAGACTGCTTGGGCCCTAAACATAAACTCTTTTTAATTTCGTTAAATGTAAAATGATTATTGTTTATAAAAATTAATTAAAGTGCATCCTATTTAACAAACAATTTTGCGACAATAGCCACTTACACACATAAATTTAAACTGTAATTTTGTAATAATATTTATCAGCAACTATATTTAACCTTAGGAAAACAACTTGCAATAAAGCTGTCAAAAATGTTTGTGTAACAACTATATGATATATGATACGAGACCAAAATAATACAAGAAAAAAAGATGTGTCCCACATTGCGAAGTTAAAATACCCTTGAATTTATACAATATTTTATAATAGATAATTAAAAACGAATAAAAATAATAAAAAGATTATAGTTTACCACAAAAAATTTCCATTTAAGATTGGAAATTTTTTTTTTTAAATAAAATATTACATGTATAATCAAATATTCTGTTTTACAGTAAGATAATGTTTTGCACCTTTCAACTCTACCAAACATGAATCTGTGAAAAGGTAGTGTATTCGAAAGCGTTTAGAGCATTTCAGGGTTGCGACGTCGATTACTTTTTCTGCCCCCTGCTCATGCTCCTTCGCCACCCACCTTTTCTCCTTCGGCTCCTCTCCATTGTTTCCCTCTCTCGCACTGCGGATGGATGGGTTGTGATAGGAGAGCGGGCAGAGAGCAGCCCCATATTGTGTTTGTAACTACTACAAATCGCTGCAAATACACAAACTGACACACGCCGTACATACATACATACATACATAATAGCAACATTGTGGAATGGGGAAAAGTAGCACAAATTGTGCGCTGTTTTAATTTCTCTTCTTCTTCTGCCTCCACTGTTGCTGTTTTTGTTTTTCTTTTCTATTTTTCACCATCTTCGCTCGCTGATATTTCTCTGTGTATGCTTGTGTGTTTGCTTTGTGCTAATCGCTTGCGCGGGCAGCGCTGTCGACGTCGCTGTCGCCGTGCTGTCTACGTTTCATTGAAGCGCGCGCGCTCTCTCTCACTTCCCCTTCCTCCCGTCCTTTAATTGCATTAAATTGTTTGGAAAATAATAATCAGTAATTGTGTTTGACGACAGTTATTTCCATCAAGCGTGGGTTTGTGTGAGTTTGTGAGAGTTTGGTCGTTTAATTGAAACAAATGAAGATTCTAATTGGGCCTTTTAAGCGGGACTAACAAATATCCCGTATTGAGGTGGCAACCCTGCCTCAATCCAGTCTCTTCCACCCACCACACGCCATATAGTTGTTGTTTTTCCGTGGAATGGGCGGTTTGAAGCGGAAGTTGGTAATTTATTTTCCAACAGCGCAATAATTTAGGCACAGTGGTCACAAAAGGACAATTCTAACAAGAATAAAAACAATCAAGCCATATCAAGACTCTAGCTACACAATCCCATTGTTTCTTTCTGTTTATTATTTAGCTTTAAACTATATTCTAAAACTTTAAAAGCATTTATAACGATACCCACATTAATTTCCAGGTGGATCAATCACTAAATCTACTGGACAGCCTCAACACGGCATTGCGGTGCGATGCTATTCAATTCTTGCTGCAGACGCTTAAGTGCAAGTACCCGGAGGCCTGCGACCAAGTCGTCAGGAATCTGTTCAGTCACATAGCTGCAGCCAATGACAATGGCGGGACAGGAGGAAGGGGGCAGCTGCAGGAGCTAGCGAGGGCGAAGCAGCTCCAGCTGCTGTTGACCGCCAAAAAGGAGAAGAAGGAGCCTGGAACAGGCTGCGAGGCAGAAATCAAGCGGGAGAACGATGAGGAGGAGGCGGGATCGACGGATCTGAACCAGAACTTCGAGAAAATCCTTTGCAAGGAGGAGTTTCTTTGTCTCGAGGAGGAGGAGGAGGATTTTCTCGATGATGCGGACACCCAGAACTCGTCTTCCCTGCAGTTCCATGCCGGCAACAATGTGGACGCCTTGGCCTTGGGCCCTGGCGATCCACTGGACCTGATCCAATCTGGTGTTTCGCTGCAGGTCAAGCGGAAGTATGCAGCCACCTTTGAAGACGATGATCATCTAGGTGCGGACGAGGAGGCGAACAGCAACAGCAGCGACGGCAAGCTTATCAAGAGGAAGCGCCCAAACAACATGCACCTGACCGTGACAAGTGTGCGACGGAAAGAGGAGCAAAGCCGGCTAGGAGAGGGCTACGTCTTCCATGAGGACAGCCAGTACACGATGCGGTATCACCATAGCACAGGCGAGTTCAGCGAGCGGGCCTTCAAGGCCCAGTTTCGTGCTCTGCTCCGCCTTGCGCTCAGCCAGCACCACAAACCCTTCCTACGGCAGTTCTACGATAACTTTGTTATAAACGGCCGCTTGCTGGGCACCACTCCATCGACACGGGTTTTGAAGGAGCTACGTGAGCAGCGGATAGAGGAGTGGCGTCGTCACCGAGAACGACGTCAATTGGTCATCCTGATGAAGCAAGATGAACTGCAGCGAGATGAGGAGATCCAGCAGCATCACCAGACTCAGGAGGAGATCCAACAGCAACAGGAGCAACAGCAGCAGCAGCAGCACCTGGAGGAGATTCAGCAACAGCATATAGAAGAGATTCAGCGGCGGCATCAACTGCCGGCCATCTCGTTTGGCGACTCCGAGTTGGAGTCAGAAACGGAATCGCAGCTGTCATCGGCTGCCCAAGAGATTATGAAATTCGAGGAGTTCATTGACGAGGGTGTAGGCGCTGGTCGTCTGATCGATGGTCTGGAGATGGAACCCGAGATCGATGACATGCTAGCTGGCGCCGGCAGTGCCTTGGATAGTGTGAACAGCGCCAGCGGACACAGTAGCAACAGCAGTAGCAGCGGGAGTGGTAGCGGCGGTAATGGAAACGGCATCAGCGGGGTGATCTTGGAGAACAATAGTCATCATTCGCATCACCTGTGAGTATAGTTTTTACCTTATCGTATACAGATCCTTGTTTTCGCTTAAAATGCACATACTTTTATAGTATAGAGCTGCATTAACCTCTGGTACCTTTCTTTGCAGAAGTAGCAGCAGCAGCGCAAATCTTGTGATTAACGGCCTTACGTCAAGCAATAGCATCAGCAACAATAATAATAATAACAACAACAATGTCAGTTTACACCGCCCTCTACTGACGCCGCAGTCGCAGAATCAGTTGGTTTCGTCGATGAAACCGTCAGACCATGGTCCCATGTCAATGCCCATGGATAACCGGGATCTTAAAGGCGGCCCGAGCCTTGGAAATGCCAATCTTATTCTGCCAGGCGGTAGTAGTGGCCTCCCCAGCCAGATGCAGCTTCACCAGCAACAAAAGCACTACAACTCAAGCAATAATCCCCTGACGATGATGGGTGGCATGATGCAGCAGCAGCAGCATGTGGGTATGCCGCACCAACAGCGCCAGATGATGATGATGCCGGAGGATTTCCCCCCACACGGAGGCTCAATGATGGGTAATCGTCAAATGCCGGCTCTGGCTGCTTTGTCGAATCTGGGTGACACACCTGCGAATAGCGGGCAGCTGAACTCCTCCCTGGAGCTAGACGACAATGACCTGTCACCGGACGAGGACGACGACGACCTGGACCACGACCTGGACGAACTGGAAGCTGCCAAGCAGCAGCTGATTGATGGCGGAAGCAGCAGTAGCACTTCTCTGCAGGCTCCGCCATCGCAGCACGGTAGCGGCAGTGGAGGCAGTGGAGGTCAGACGCCCGGCAGCAAAAAGGACAAGCCTAGCTATAATTGTCTGCTATGCCCCAAGTCCTATCGCAAGCGAAAGTCGCTACTGGACCACTACAAGATGCATCCAGGATACTGCCACGACTGTGGTCAGCGTAACGGAAATACGCTGGAGGTAACTATCAATATTAAAAAAAAATTAAGTTTAAAACCAAAATAACGCATTATTTTGCAGGAAATAATCCATCACAACCGGACGATGCATGTGAAGGAGTTCCCGTTTGTGTGCGAGACGTGTGGGGAGTCGTACTCACGGAAACAGCAGTTCCACGCACACGTGGAGTCGCACAACAAGAAGGAAATCAAAAGTGAGTCGACGTGAATGTAAATTTCACCAAGATCTCGAATGGAGTTCCTTGGGATCAGCATCAGCGTATCTTAAAACTTGTCGAACTGTGATTTAACCTCTTTCTCTTTGCAGCCTTTCCGTGTGGCGAGTGTGGGTTAAAATTTCCACAGAAGAAACTGCAGCAACACTTTGAAGAGACTGGCCACAAGGCCGACGGGGCCATTTGCGAGGTGTGCGGCGAGGAGTTTCAGTCAAAGAACGCTCTTTACCAGCACATCATTCGCGTCCATAAGCGCGACAACTTCTTTGAGTGCCACATTTGCCATAACCGCTTCACGCTAAAAGCCAATCTAGAGCGGCACGTGCAGCTGCACACCGAGATCAAAAGGCCCTACGTGTGCGATCTGTGCGGCTCGTCCTACTTCACATATCCCGCACTTAAGGAGCATTATAGCAACGCCCATGTTGACGTGTCAGAGTGCAAATGCACGCTGTGCGGCAAGCGCTTCGGTTCAGCAAAGTCGCTGCAGCGCCACCTGCCGTCGCACTCCGAGGAAAGGCCGCACTGTTGTAACTATTGCGATCAGGTCAGTCTAGAATATTACCAGGCATTATTTTCGAGCTAAATGTAACAATGTGTTTTTGTGCCTTTGCAGACATTCAAGTGGAAAACACATTTGGTCCGCCACAAGCAGACGATGCACGGAAACGAGCCGCCGCCTCCTAAAAAGGGAAAGCAGCGCTTTCCCAAGGGGAACGAAGAAGGTAAAAAAAAGAAGGTTTTCCAGGAACTAGAACACTTATTAACCCGTTTCTCTTTCAGCAGAAATGGCTAGCTTGCCGGATATGCCGGGGCCGCCACCTGTGAAAGCCAGCAAAAAAGCAGTTACCAGCAAGGCGAAAGCGCAGGCAGCAGCCGCCGCAGCAGCAGCAGCATCATCCTCTCAGCAACAACAGCATAAGGGTTCGGCGGCCACACCGACACCGCCACCGCCGGTCTCCACCACTCCAGGATGCTTGCAACAAGACCAATTCAATGCGGCCATGGTTAGCAGCAATAGCTCGCAATCGTCCACGGCGTCCACGTCACAGCACTCGGTGTCGACGAGTGAATCTCAGCAGAATTCCATGTACAATCAGAGCTTTAATCCGGATAAACAGCAGCCAGGACAGCAGCAGCCCCAAAATTCGTTGCATCAGCAACATCCGACGCCGCCGCCGACACAGCAGCAGCAACAACAACAGCAGCCGCCGCCGCCACAGTCCCGCGTTGCACCCGGAGAATTGCATCTGCAGCGCATGAATAGCTTTGGTCAGGATGGACAATTTCACTTTGAGTCCAATCCGGCAGCTGGTGCTTATCAGCAGCATCAACTGATTAGCCAGTATCAGCAGCAACAGCAACAACAGCAACAGCAGCAACAGCAACAGCAACAACCTCAGCAGCAGCAACAGCACCATCTAGCCCAACAGCAGCAGCTCATGAGGAGTCACACGCCCCAGAGTCCACATCCGCCACATCCTTCACAAATGCAGCAACAACAGCCGCAGCAACACTTTAGCTCCCCTCACCACATGCCGCCTATGCATCATCAACATCAGTTAATGATGCAGCAGCAGCATCGTCACAACCAGCGCTCGCCGCTACACCATCATCCTGCAGCCCAGCAACTGCAACAGCAGCACCAGCAGCCATCGCATTCGCCGCAACATGCAAGACTGCAGTCGCCACAACCTGCTCCAGTACAACAACAGCAACAGCAGCAGCAGCAACAGCAACAACAACAGCAATTCCTGCAGCAACAGGCTACCGACAGTTGGGGCAACATGAACTTTGGCAATCCGCCCAACAACCAGCAGGTTGAGCTTAAAGATAACAAATTCTACATTGTGGAATCGCCCGAGTTCCTAGGGCTTCCAATGAATGTGCCGCCTTCTCCACAGCAGCAGCAGCAACAAGCAGTAAGCAAACCCCAGCAGCAGCAGCAACAGCACCCCCAACCCCAGCAAACAGATCCAACTCTCGCTGGCGATCTGATGAGCTTCCAGCATATGTGGCCGGCGCCTGGGTTTAGTCAATCTCCACAGCAGCAGCAACCTCAACAGCAACAGGCAGCGCAACAACAACAGCAGCAGCAGCAACAATCGCAAAGTCAGGCGAATTCAAGTGATCCCCACAACTACAACAACATCGGCAGCATACTCACGAATCTCATTGACACAAATCCCGCGCCAATGGAATATAACTTCGACTTGATGCAGCAGCAACAAACGACGGCATCGCAACAACAGCAACAACAGGCGGCGCAGCAGCAACATCACAATGCCGGAGGCTATGCGAGCGGTTTGATGCGCAGTGGAGGCGGCGTTTACGGTGGAGCCTACGAGCAGCACTTGAACGACCAGCTGGTCAGTGAACAGCAAAAACAGAACAGCTTCCAACCCTACCACCCACATAGTCTACAAGCGCAACAGCAGCAACCATTGCATCCGCATCTTTTGCCCCCACCAGCTCCGCATGGCAATGTCTATGACCGGACTGGGGTTGGAGTCGGTGTCGGGGTAGGCGTAGGTGTGGGCTATCCCATGCTGGGAGACGATTCGAAGGGCGTGCTGCCGCCGATGATGGGTGGTATGATGCAGCAAATGCCCCCTCATGGCCAGCAACCAGATCTAATCTATTACCCAGTGAAGAACGATTGACAGTCGAAGAATCAGCAGCAGCAAGTCCAGCAGCCGAATCACCATCACCACCATCGCTGGTGGACAGAGCCAGCCAAGAGAGGCGATGTTTTTCATTAAAGAAACAAACGAAAACAGGAAAAGGAATACGGAACAAGTTCGCATAGATTGTAAGTGTAGGGGGGAGGGTGGATGTGTGGAACGCGAGGAGTTGTAGATAGGGCAATCCACATATTTTTTTGAAATTAAGAGCAATAACATAAAGATTAGAGCGGAAAGAGCTCAGAATTTCTAATCCGACCGGCGCTATGATACGTGTATAAAAAGTAATCATTTACAAAATACATCAAATAAACAGATGCATGTATACATAAATAAATCAATTCAGACATATACATAGTAGCACCTAAGCAAAGCAAGAGCAAGAATTAAATTAAAACCTATACATAATAATAAATATATATATATATAAATATATATATTATATGAAACATATATATTAGGGTAAGAAATTACAATAATGGCAGACCACAAGCAACTTTCGAACAAATTTTATGCTTATTTAACATTTACCATACAAGTTATAAATGCAACACCACACAAATACGTGCGTGCGTTGATGTATAATCAAAACAATCCAACATTATATTCATACATATGATATCTATGTAAACCACGAGTGACCCCTATATTGTAGATGATTGATTTGAGCTTGGGTCGGGTCATGCATCACAAACGGAAACAAAAACAAAAGTACACGACGCTTTGAGCCCGGGCCTAGCGCCACACAAAGTTGTAACCATATCATGAGGCCTCTTTCCCGTATAATTAATTGTATTTTCGATAGTGCTTGTTATTTTCTATTTAGTTAACGAATTGATTATACTTATAAAGCCTTTCTGCTGATTACCGCCAGCCACACTTTTGTTAGATTAGTGCCTAAGTCTAGTTGATATCCCAATGTATACCCCGACATTTTGTGGCTTTTTACACCCAAACCTTGTATAGCTACTCTATAGCATTTCCGATTTTTTCAAGCTCCCAAAGTTCTACTCCCGATTTATTACATTTTGTTTGATGAATTTCCTTAAATTCAAGACAGGCCCTAAAACATTTAAGTTAATCACAGCGTTGTTCTTGTTTTACACATTATTCAAATTCAGCAACATAAGAATTTTAAATTTAAGTAAAAGTTTAAAACGTTAAATGTGTAAGCCTACTTTTATGAACAAAACAAAAGTAAAAAAAAAGAAACCAACAACAAACTTCACTAAAATTAGGTTTGTATTCTGGATACAAAAAAGAAGCAAAATGGCAATTAAAAAGAAAGAACACAATATAAATAAAATTTGTATATTTAATAAAAATAGCAAAATAAAAATAAACTTCTTTTAAAAAATTTACAAAGCCATCTTTGTCCTTCCCGTTTTTCGGTTTATTTAACAAACACTTAAAAAATTACATTAGTTAACGCCTCCCATCAAATTGACTACTCGGTTTTTATATCGCTTGGATATATCCTTCTCGATGTGCGACTGCAGAGTGCGAGTCTGGGCAACCAGTTCCTCCAGGACGGGATTCAGCTGCTGACGCTGCTCACGCAGCTCGATGGTTCGCTTCTTGAGCACCTCTCGCGACGATCGCAGCTTCTCCACTGCCTTAGTCATCTGCTGCAACTTGGTGACTAGCAGATTGGCATATTTCGGAGAGTGTTTCAGTTGGAAAAGATGCCGCGTCTGCTCGTCCGAAGTCTGCTGGATGATTTTCTCTACAGAACCAAGGATTTTCCTGATGCTCTCCGCATCGTGTGTGGCAATATTATCCATGAGAGAGAACATAATATCGCTCGAGGACTCTAACTGCTTTAGTTCATAGAGACGTAAACGCAGGAAGGATTCCAGCTCGTATATTTCGTCCAGGAAACGATCACGATATTTTGGCGAGTCCAATAACGTGTATGCCTGATCACCTACATAAAATTTGTATTAATTAGATTCAAAACAGAAAACGTATAATTTTTTACTCACCCTTGGCAGTGCCGCCGTCCATCCCGGTTCCCTCCACTACAATTCCGTACTCCTCGACGGGAATGTCAAAGTTAATTTCAACCGCATCGGTGGGGGCACTTTCAATGCCCCAGTCAATGTTGCCCGCATCGTTTTCCTGCAAGTCGCCACTTCCAAAGTCTCCGTAGTCGATTATCTCCGCCGAAACTGTAGAGGATGTTCCGCCATTGTCGTCCGTTCCGAAGTCAATCTCAAGAGGGGCATTATCATCTTTGCTGGCGATGTCCTCGCTGAGGTTCAGTTGAATTGGTGGCTCCTCGACAGCCAAAGGAGCTTCCTTGTGAATGTATTGATAGACGGTGGTGTTGCCGAACTCCACCAGGTGACTCAGGATAGGCAGTGCCTGTTTGTGACCGCTGACCTCGGCGTACAGATCAATGCCTGGTTGAATCTTGGCGATGTCGATCAGGGACTTGGAGTATAGCTCCGGGAGGCCAGCAAGGACCTCCACAAACTCCGCATGCAGGTTGTCACCCTTGACGCCCAGTTGCTCCAACAAAGCTGCGTGCTCAGCCAGGAGCTGGCTCTCTGGTTTGTTTAGATCGTGGACTCGCTTCTGACTTTCATCGGCTTGCTGCTCCAACTTGGTCATTTGCTTGCGCACACCGGGAATCTCGTAGTTCACATTCCGTACGAAGATCTGAGCTGTTTCGGCCAGGTAGGTGGCATTCTTTTCGTACAGTTTGCTGATCTCCTGCCAGTCCTTCATGCGCTGGCTGCCGTAGGTACCAAATACGCTTTTCGTGTCCTTCTCCGTTTGCTTCAAGATCTCAATGATTTCCTTGACGTGGTAATAGTTAATATCTGCAAGGATTTAGTTAAATTAGTAAGGAACCCTTTGGCAACTGAGTATTTACTTGTCTTAGCCAGTAGCTTAATCAGTTGTTCATTTGATGGCATGTCCTGTAGCGCACTGCTTATCTTTTTGTGGATATCCCGAATCTCCTGCTGCACATTCTTGGGTACGATCCTTCGACTGATTAGCCAATCTTGAAGCTTCAGAGTGTGTATGTCGATGGGGATCTCTGACTCCTGCGGAGATCAAAATTTGGTGGATCATAAAGCATGGACGATAAATTTGCTTTTGAATAGCTTACATTCATTTTTAATCAACTTTTCTTAATGTTATTTATATTAAATTAAATTGTCCACGCAGGCTGTTTTTGTTTAGTTGTTGTGCTAATTAATAGTGTGGCCAGAGTATATTGAGACATTTAGCACGGACTAAAACCATATTTTAGTTCTTAATTTTGGTAACTAAAATAAGGTGTTCACACCATAGTTTTTAGCTTTTCTAGATTGTTTTCCCTAGTTTTCCAATTGAATTTGAATTTAGTTTTTAAAAAATGTTTTTCTTTTTTTAATTTTAGTCATTTATTTTATAAAGTCTATGTTTTTATATTTAAAGAAAGTAAAACTAAAATATACAGAATTCATAATGGACAAATAACAGATATTTAACCAATAAGCGCTGAATACAGGCTAAACGAAAGTCGGATTTTCAAATAATTCCTATTATATATATTTTGTTTTCAAACAAAGGTTAATCAAAAACTAAGCAATCGTTCCTCGAACTCTTAAGAGTTCCTAGGCCTAAGCTGAATAGTCATTGGCAATAGCTGCGGCATCGACATCGTCTCTAAACATCTGTGCGACTTGAGCACTGGGCAGGACTTTCTGGGAGCTTCCCGTCTTAGTCTTGCGCCAGATATCCCATTCCACTGGATGCATTTTCTTCTTGTGGGAGTGCATGTTGGCGTTCGAATTGAATGTGCGGGGACAGAAGGGACACTTGTAGAGTGGCTCGCCAGTGTGCTGGGCCATGTGCTCCTAAAAACAATATGTTAAGCATTATGGAAGAATAATATAAGAGGTAAAAGATCCAACCTTAAGGCTAATGTCCTTCTTGAAGGTTTTGCCACACTGTTCGCAGGTATAAATCACATTCGAGTGGGAGTAGCGCTTGTGACCGATCAGTGCACGGGAGTTCTTGCAGCTCTTGCCACATTCCGAGCAAATGAACAATTTGCCCTCGTCGTTGTGGCGCCTCAAATGCTGCTTGAGATTGTCCTCGTCCTTCAGCCAGCTCTCGCAGTCTGGACGTGGGCACTTGATGCGGGGCCCGCTCTCCTCGAAGTGCAGGCGAACGTGCTTTTCGAAGACGGCCTTATCCTTGATTTTCTTGCCGCAGACATGGCAAATATTGGCCGCTTTGCGATGCTGCATGCTGATGTGAACTTGCATGTGGTACTCCGTGGCGAAACTGTGGACAGATTCTCAGCACACGAAATATTGCCCATTGAGTTGAATATACTTACGCATTGTGTTTAGGGCACTGAGGGCAGATAAACTTGCGCTCGTTAACGGGCACATGAGAACCCTTGTGTAGCTCGAGCAGATTGCGTCGCGAGAAACGCTTGCCACAGTCCTCGCACTGGAAGTCGCACTCCTCATCTGGCACATGGTGGACCAGCCAATGGGCACGCAGCACACTCGAGTTGGCAAACACCTTGCCGCAGTCCTTGCATCTGTTCAAACAAAGTAAACTTGTATTTAAAACCATTTTCTATATGATGTTGTAGGAGACCCACTTGATGTATTCGGGATTCTCATGCCTTCTCGCATGCTCCTGAATGAGGCAGCGCTTGTTGAGCTTGCGTCCGCAGCATTTAATGTAGGGTCTCTCCTCAGGATGCTTCTCCTTGAAGTGCTCACGGATGCCGTCAAAGTCCTCAGCCAGAAATATGCACAGCTCGCAGCCCATGACTATGTATCGCTTAATCAGTTCTTCGTCCTCCTTGCAAAACGGTGGCAGGCGTTCCATTTTAAATATCCTTTTCGGTGGTCCCCGCTTAGCCACGATCTTCTCCTTGCCCTTTCTGCCAACTCCCCTTTTCGTTTTCGTCGGCTTGGGCACCTCCCGTTTGCGCTTGCGTCCGCTGCGGGTCACAATCAAGTCGTCGGGGTCCTCTTCCTCGTCCTCCTCGTAGTCCTCGTCAAGTTCATTGCTAGGATCCTCGTAGATGAATTCCATGTCGGGTGATTCACGCTCTGTTTTGATGCCGACCTTGCTGTCTTCCGGGGACATCGGTTGGCTTAGATCCAGTTCGTCGAGGGGATTTACATTTAGCTGAGCACTAACATCGTTGTCCACAGCGAGGACGTCGGCCGGCATAAGCACCTCCTCCGGCCAGGATGTATTGACCATCTCTGGATCCTGCTTAAACTTGGATGTGGTGGCATAAATCACCTGGGCCTCCTGTATGGAAACGTAGAACTGATGGAACTCAGACACCTGCGTCCAGCAGACGTTGCAAATGACCTTGGATATCTCGTCGTTGGGCAGAACCTGGATAGGGTCAGAAAAATAGGCTAGTATAAGAAGCACAATTGGGTGAGGGACAGCAGATTACCTCGAACCAGAAATGCTGGCGCAGAACCTCTGCCACCTTGTTCTCCGCCGAATCCACATCGAAAATCTGTAGACACATCTGGGCGCCGCTCACTCCGCGCAAACACAGGCGGCAGATATCCATTTTGCATTTATTTGATAAAACTATAATAAAAAGTAGTAATTTACATAGCTCTGTCGATAACTCCCATCGGAACTATCGGCAGTATCGTGATGTATTGCAACGGTGTATGGGCATACTATTGGGCAGTAAATGGTCACACCATGTTTTGCTCCTGTGAAAAATGTTGATAAAGTTGGAAAAAAATGAGTAAACCAGTGATTAAACCCAAGGAGCCGGCTGGCACATCTGGCAGCTTGAAGGTAATAGACTCTCAAATCTCCCGGCAATCGAGTTTATCACTTCCCGTTTATATTTCAAGAGGATTAGCGAAAAGAAGTTAGAGGCTTTTACCGTCGGCACTTTTTCGAAGAGACAACTGTCCAAAAAGGAGATTGAAGAGCAGAAGAAAAAGGAGGATGCAGCTGCAGCGGCACATGTACGTTAATAAAGGAAATCCCCCCAGTTCAGATAACAATCGAATACTACTTCCAGGCCTTCAAAGAGTTTGTTGAGACCTTCCAAGAAGCACCTACGCCCTCGTCCAAAGTTTGGGTCAAAGCCGGGACATACGATGCGGGTTCCCGGCGGGAGGATAAGTCGGAGAAGGGCAAACTGTACAAGCCAGTTTCGAAGTTACTGGAGAAGAGCTCGTCTGACAAGGTCGAGGAATATGCCAAAACTCTTGCCTCGGATCTGAAGAAGGACCCAGGTCCTCTTAAAAAGAAAAATCAGGAAAAGAAGAAGAGTAACTTGGAGCTTTTTAAGGAGGAGCTGAGACAGTGAGTCGGATATCTGTTCCTCCGAGATCTAACCTACTAAGTTTTGTGTGATTTCAGAATACAAGAAGAACGCGAGGAGCGCCATAAGTACAAGCACATGGCCGCATCCCATACTCCGCCAGCCCAGCAACCGTCAGCAGCAGCTGGTTCAGCGCCAAACAGCAGTGCATCCACCACCTCCACGGCTTCCAACTCAGGCTCGAAGGACTCGGGATCCTTCGATACTGGCGATCCAAATACTACTAATCTTTACCTAGGAAACCTAAACCCAAAGATATCCGAGCAGCAGCTCATGGAAATCTTCGGGCGCTACGGTCCCTTGGCCAGCATTAAGATCATGTGGCCCCGCTCCGAAGAGGAAAAGCAAAGAGGTCGTAACTGCGGATTTGTGGCTTATATGAGTCGCAAGGATGCGGAAAGAGCACTGAGGACACTGAATGGGCGGTACATCATGGGGTACGAGATGCGCCTAGGATGGGGTAATCAATAGCTTTTATATTGTAGACCGTAGGCCTGGCTTTTTAGGAGAGCACATTGAAACAAATAATTTCAATATGTACATATGTATATGCATGTCTAAGAGGTTTCTTATTTGATATATTTTTAGGCAAGACTGTGCCCATAATGAACACGCCCATCTTCGCACCGCAAGCCTTGCTGGAAATGACCCTTCCACCGCCACCATCGGGATTGCCCTTTAACGCCCAACCACCACCAAGTGAGGCCGATGTTTTACCTAAGAAAAACTACAAGGAGTTCGACAAGGAAGAGGATAAGGAAAATATGAACAGGGTAAGTACAAATTACTAGATCCTCAATTAAAACAGTGATAAACTTTTACTTTATAGATACTTGCCAAATGTGTCGTTAAAGTTCACATACCGACAGAGAAGTATGAAGTCCACCAAGAACATTCAATTACAAAACTAACATGACTGCACATTTTACAGAGCTGTTCTCAATATTATTCATCGGATGATCGAGTTTGTTATACGAGAAGGCCCGATGTTTGAAGCTTTGATCATGATTCGTGAAATGGAGAATCCTCTTTTCTCGTTTCTCTTCGATAACGAGAGCCCTGCCCACATATACTACCGGTGGAAGCTATTTTCTTTGTTGCAGGGCGACACACCAAATGAATGGCGGGAGGATGAGTTTCGTATGTTCAAAAATGGACCAGTATGGAAGCCTCCGATAGCCAACTTTTATACACAGGGTATGCCAGATGAGCTAGTTGTTGACCCAGATGCTCCTGTGGTCAACAAAGGAGCCCTGTCCAATGCGTATGTTTAGTATAGGTGTCCATTTTGGGTATACAATTTATTACTTTTGTTTCCATAGACAACGAGATCGACTTGAGGATCTGATTAGGCAACTAACTCCGGAGCGCGCTCGCATTGGAGATGCCATGATCTTTTGTATAGAGCATGCCGATGCTGCTGATGAAATTTGCGAATGTATATCCGAGTCGCTATCCAACTTGAGCACAGTAGCTTCAAAAAAGATTGCCCGGCTCTATCTGATTTCAGATATATTGCACAACTGCACGGTTAAAGTGGCAAATGCATCGTTCTTTCGGAAATCGTAAGTCTATAGCACCTGTTGAACTCAAATCATGAACAGACCTCTTATGTTTAGTGTGGAAAAGCAGCTAGTTGAAATCTTTGAAAATCTGCATAAATATTACTTGAATATTGAGAGTCGATTGAAAGCAGAGGGCTTTAAAACCAGAGTCTGCAATGTAATTCGTACCTGGGAGGAATGGACAATCTATCCCAAGGAGTTTACGGCTCAACTGACGGCCAAGTTTCTGGGTAAACCGGTTAGTTTGCTATTTTCTTTTAAATTATACATGTAGTTTAAAGATATCTTGTGTTTAGTACGTCATGCCCGTCAGTTCTTCACCTCAGGCTGAGGAAACCCGCTCAGATGAGGTTTTAGACGAAGATATCGACGGTGCCCCACTCTCCGCAGAGGAAAAGGACGATGAAGACTTGGACGGAGTGCCACTAGATGGAGCTGCTTTGCTGAAGACCGCCTTAAAGCGTGCCAATCCTGATGCTGAAATTGGTACACCAAAGAGCGAAATATCCAGAAAAGATGACTACCTCGACGAAATCGATGGCGTACCTTGTAAGCATCAACAAGTCAATTCAATAAAAACTTAGTTTAACAAATAATTTTAAATTTCCAGTAGATGAGGACCTCGATGGTATACCACTGGAAAAGGAAACCAAGCCGACACCAAAAATGCCCGGTTTTATACCTTCGAAGTGGGAGACAGTTGACCCTCAGCAAGTGGAAGCTCAAGCGATTACTACTAGCAAATGGGACACTCTCGACCCTCCAGACCCTCCCAAGTTTTTCAGCTCAGAAGACGAAAGCGAAGATGACAACGCGCTAAAGTTTAACGACGAAAAGAGGCAAAAGTTAAGAGAAATTGAGTTAAAAGCGATTCAGTATCAGGATGAATTAGAGTCCGGAAAACGAAGAGTAGAACCTGGCTGGACTGTTGCCGAGCAGGTAGAATACTTCCGCAAGCGATTGCTTAAACAGGTAAGCTTGATGGAAAAAGAAAAGATCTTTTCAAAAACACCTCTTCAAATTAGGACTCGAAATCTGAATCTGCGGTGGACTCCCCACTGAGCTACATGCACAGTAAATCTAAGGGCTTTAAGCTCAATGAAAGTCCAGCCCAGTTCCGCAGCGATTCTCGCAAACGATCGCACTCACCGTTCTCCGCTGCAGAAACCAAACGACGCGATTACTCACCGGATATCTCCCGCTCCTCCAAGTCCTCCAAACGTAACCGATCACGCAGTTCGTCTGGGTCACCGAAGCGGTATGGAGAGCGTCCTCGCAGCTCCCGCTACGAGAGCCCAGCTTCAGGCTCCTCTCGCTCACGGAAGTTCTCCGAGGCGAAGAGAAGAGGTATCGCCTCCGAGACACCGGAGCGATAAGCACAAACATAAGCATAGGCACTAGGTATTGAACTTCGGACGATTTGTATTTAATTAAACATGAATTGTACATAAAAACACGTTCGTCGTTTGCTTTAAATACACAGTATATATATTTTAAATCTAAATTGTTTGTTAGGATGTGGGACACACGCACAACACACGGCCCAGGAAGTTCGATTCCGCTCTGCGAATTTGTCTAAAAACATGAATCTAAGCAAGCTATCTTAAAATGTTTACGATTTGTTAAGGAAAGCCGGCCAACCAACACCAGTCCTCGAACAGCCTGAGCCTAGCCATATAAGCAGTGGTGATTATCGTAGGGTGAATACATTGATGCGACTTAAAAGTAGATGCGAACAGCCTCCTCGGCATTCTGCTCCACAGGGCAGTAGGGGCACTTAAGTATATGCCCAACACTAAGTTTGTGCAGGGCATCGTTGGATATGACGTGGCCACATGTCAACTTTTTGGGCGGGTTGTCTTCGGATGTCTGCTGGCGAAGGATAGGGCAGGCAAAAATCGAATGAAAGCGGAATTCCGGCTGCAGGTCAATCTCAATTGGCAGCTCGTCGCAGCCGTTCCACATACCCAGCACCTGTCGGGATTGCATCACCTGCTTTATATTGAGCAGTGCTGGAAGGGCGGTGCATCCGGCATTTACGACGACGGAAAGGGCCGAGTTCTTGCTAATGCCTAGCAGTTGGCAGGCATCCTTAAGGAATATGAACGACAGCTCAGTCCACATCTCCTGGCCCAAGAAGTGCTTGTATGGCGAGTTCTCCAGTCCACTTGGCAGGTATATGAAGCTGGCCATAAGATTGGCAATCTCGTGTTCATAGCGCACTGCGAACTTCTTGAAGTTCAGACGGGCATAACAGATTGCCTCTCGCTGGGAATCCAATCCATACGAGACAAGCTGCATGAAGCGCATGCGGTGCAGACGGAACTCTATTAGAGAGTGACGGTCACTCAGCTGTTGGGAGTACATTTTAGCCCACTTAAGGGCGTCGGTCAAATCACGTTTCTGGATCTTCACCCACATGCCATAGATGTCAGCAAACTCACGCTCAGAGTCAAACACATCCTGAGCATGTTCTGGCGACATCTTGCATTCGCGTATTAATGTGCGAGCTACATCATCCATTCCCTGACGACAGTAGTGCTTGGCTATGGCCTTGTTCAGCAACATCAAGTTCTCGTCGTCTTGCAGAACATCCACGCGCATGGTGGATGTGAAGTCGGCACTAAAATTGCGGTCAATGGCTTTCCCGATCTTCGAGATGGAGCCATGAAGATCGCGGTGCTCTGTGGACAGTTTCTGAACACGCTCGTTACACCTGGCAATGGCTTTTCGGATGCTCTCCATCTGTCGCTCAGTGAGGCGTTGTGGAGCCGTTGGTTCTGTTTCCACCTGCATGCTCACCCCATCTCCCATTGGGTCATCTTGGGAGACTTGAGTGCTCGAGTTTAGAGTGGTCACTAGGTGCTCCGCCCTGCTTAAGACTTCGACCAACTCCGACATCTGAGTGGCTATGTCTCCAATGTCCGCCTCAGCATTATCGTGCAACTGCTCTAGCTTGGTGACCACCTTGGTTAGGTCCTTCTCCACTGACGAACAGGCCCACGATTCGTTGTCCATTGTTAGCTCCAGCTTTGTAGGAGAAAGCTTAAAAACCAACCACGCCAGGCGCGCGTTACCTATTGGTTTCAAAGTGATTCGATTTCAGGGGTTTGTTGCACTGGTGTTCTCCAAAGTCACGGCAATATTCGTGGGGTCAGAGGAAAATGCGTATTTATTGTTAATTTTATAACAAAGAGTACGATAACTATATACGATAAATGCAATATCGATAGTACAATAATAAATACCGATAGGTCGTAGGCTGACCATATCTCGGTTCGTTTCCACTAATTTTTAAACACGTAAGATGTTTAAATGCACTTTGTAAATAGTTGCCTTACGGAAAGACATGATTTAATTTGTTTTCCTGGTTTAATAATAAATTTCTCAAATCTTTCCAGAAGTCCTGGAAACAAGTGGGATTATTATATTACCAGCAATCACTGGAAAGTATCGATACAGCGAGCAGGCGCTGAAGCACAGTGCTGCCCATCACAGTTCGAGCAACTGAAAAATCAATTATTATTGCTGCTGCTTTCTGGCAGAGCAATTTATAACGACAAAGTTTGAAATTAGCCGTAATTAAATAAGATAACGAATATTTAAATTACTCATATAGTGTTAGTGTTAACCATTCGAAAAGGTAAATATTAAAAAGTGACTAACAACTTGTCAAGAATGCCAGGGAAGAAGAATTCATAGTTTTAAAAATAAGTGATGAGTCTTAAGCCGAACGACATTGAACCCAAATTACAATGCCGTACCTCCAAAAATAAAACATTTTCCAAAAAACTTCAGACAGTGCCAAGAAAATACAACTGAAAAGCAATTTCAAGCCCAGGTGGCTGAGATAAAAAGATGCATTGAAAATAACAGCAGGTGCACGGTTAATTTTACTTTCGCTGTTTACCAGTCAGTGCGTTTGAAAGCGAAATGGAAAGCGTTGGGAAAACTCATAATACTTGCTTGTGTGTGTGTGTGTGTATGATAACAAGAGAGAAGAAGCTGCAAAATTAAAAATATGAAAACAAGAAAAGTTCGCATGCTTACAGTGCTGATCATCACTTTAGCAGTGATAACTTGTCTCTGGAAAAATTTTAATACCCTTTTGATTTAAACAAATTAACAAAGCTAAAAAGGACTGAAGAGATTAAGATGATTTCTGATTCTGAAAAAATATTGATCTGACTAAATAATTTGGAAAACTTTCTACTTCATTTTTCTTATTTATCCTTCAAAAACATGAAATTTCTTTGGAATAAATTTAATTAATATGGAACTAGAATAGTTAGTTTGTTATTTTGAAAAGCCTCCTAGAAAACTGAAATATAAGTGATCAAGTTGTGACTGCTGCTGTAGCCTCGGATATTCCCCGTGCAGGCCCAAATCTTGTCTCATCAAAAATAAAGGAAAATAATGGCCGACGACGATTATGAGGAAGAGCGCGCCCGAATAGCTTTAGCTTTCGTCGTGTCGGGTCGTTCTGTGCTGGCGAAAATTCGCTAATAGTTTCAAAAATTTTCTTTGCTTCAGTTCGGGAACAACATTCGAACTTTGCGTAAGCTGTCCAGTTCTTGGATTCTATATCCAAACACCAATAATCAAAACGAAATGAAAACGTCTTATTTTGGATAAGCATTCCATATTATTTATGCGGTCGTTAATTTTAAAGAGGCCCAGTGATTTGTGTGCTAAGAAAAGTGAAAATAATAAAGAATTATTAGACGGGCCGAAAAGAGCGAATTGCGCGAGCTAAAAATAAAAAGATCGGGACCGCTATTTATGTAATAAACTTTTTTGTTTTCCCGCAACAATATTTAAACGTATACAGCATTTTGCGCTGTGATTCGTGGCCAGTGATGTGAAAGACCGAGTCGGTCAACTGAAGCGTGTAACCACATAACGCATCTATGTATCTTTCAGATAATGCTTTAAACGTACAGCCAGCTCCAACCATTAACCAGCCAACATGAGCCAATGTCAAAGTTAACCAACAACGGGAAACACATCGCATAGTCAACAGCTCGCAAAGAGCCATCAACGAACAAAATCGATCAGGAATACAATAGGAGAGTTGCCTTAAGAACTAGCTTTAATCACCGCCAATAGCCATACATATTCGAGATCCAAATCGATACAATCCAAAATGCCTGCAGCAGCCACATCCAAGCCGAGGCCTCCGGCCGTCGAGGAGGGAATGACGCCCAAGAAGACTGCGTTGATCATCGTCACCGTGATCGGATGCGTGGCCATCCTTTGGCCAAAGGTTTTCCACCCCATGATGTTTGGAGGTGTTCCACCACCCAAACAAAACTTCAAGGATCAACGAGCTGCTCCTGGCGGTAAGTTCTTATATTTCTTTCATTGTAGTCTACTTTTACAAATTTACTTTTAAAATTAATTTTAATTATTTAACAATTATTATTATGATTTTCTTTTTATTTCCGTATGTGGGTGGTGTTGTTGTATGGGCTGTGCTGTCGATGTTGTAGGATGTTGTGATGTCGTGCTTGACAGGGAGCAGTTTATGAATGTCTCCAAGAAGGAAGTTGTCGAGCCTTTTGGGCCGCATTTGTACCGCAAACAAATCAATGTTTATACGGGCGAAATAAGTATGTGCCGCAACGATGTTATTTTAATTCCTATGACTAACAGTGTTTGGCTCTACTAACTATATGCAATGTTTATTGTACAAAGGCAAAAAGTATTTTACTGATCAGAAAATTAAGTAATTGATTAATGGTTAGCCATTAATTACTTGAGAATTTGATTGAAAAAACTTTAATAAGAAGTCGATCAGTGCAAAATTAACATATAATATTTAGTTGTTTTTAAGTTAATTTCTCTAACATTTTTTTTCTTTATAATCCTTTTGCAATTGCATTTTAAGTTTTATAATCAATCATTCTGACGAATAAGTTGCCCAATTAAAAAATCTGCAATCGTCCTAGGTCTGCGCCAGGAGCGTCCAGCCCACCTGCATCCGGAATCCATATACCAGGCCATGCGAGAGCGGGGTCGCGCCATACCCGCCACGCCCACTGTACCGATTCTGGAACGGAAAAGTTCACCCAGTAATCCGCCTCCTCGAATTGTGGACGGACGGGTAAGTTGCGCTATAACCATACGATATGTATTATTCTCCGGATAATAAATCCACAATTATATATTTCGGCGGCTGCGGTCGCACTGATTATAATGACGGCGGGATGAGACACATCCGCGCTCGCGTTGGAAGTCATTTATAAATAGACGAACGTTTATTTTATTTGGATTCGGGTTTTGTTTTTATGAAACTGCACGCAAATTGAAGGCAAAAGACAGCGCTAAAGAAAACACAAAAAGAATCTGTAAAGGATGAGTGGGAGATCGTCAGAATGTGCTTCTACGTATTGAACTTGTGCCAAATTCAGTGCGCCAGTTCCATTTCGCTCTCATCTAAAACAAGAAGACGTGTGAAATGGCCCAAAGAGAACAGATCAGCTGTAGGCTGTTCATGTCAAAATACATCACGGCGGATACGTGATTTTTATGATTACAGGAAAAAGACACATAAAATTACCACATTTGTATCTAGCAGAATGTGAGCAATGTTCTGTTACGTATTTATACATTCAAAATTATAAAACTAGTTTACATTTACATAAAATCGTCCTAGTCTGCCTAGTAATCAATGCCCCAGGGCGTATACGTGATTTTTATGTATGATATTTACATGGTTGTTAAAATTTTACTTACTAACCTTACTTACTTACCTTACTAATAAATATTAATCCAATCTGTATATAGCCCGGACCCATTCCTGGAATGCGTCCGCCCATGGGAGCCGGGGCAATGCATCAGCCACAGCAGCGTGGCAGTAGTATGGGATTTCTGATGCCACTTTACACAATCGGAATCGTGATCTTCTTCGGCTACACTTTGATGAAGGTGGCTCCAATTGATTTTTTTAACATAGTAAACATACTAATTCGAACTCTTTTCAGATTATGTTCAAGAAGCAAGTTCCCAATGATCCGTACGGACCAGCACCTTCGAATCCGGCTTTCCGGCAGGAAGTCTTCGGGCAGCAGAACCATAGTCAAGTGGAGGACTTGGGTGGCAGCAAATTGGGTGAGTTCCAGGCTGTACTGGATGCCATCTACTGGAAATTTACACTTGTAGTTCGACATATACAAAAGAAAAACACTCTAGCCAACGCACTCACGAGTCAATCCTAACCGAAAAAAAATGCATTTTGTACTCTTCTGCTTCCGCCCACGCACTCCAAAAATCATCCCACGATCAGGCTGGCGAGAACATCAGACAAGTAAGCCAGATACAGATGGTACCATAGATGACCATAGAGTTCCGTTCGTATCTTGAGTTTCTAGACCTCGACGAAGGCGTTTTGAGTTTTGAAATATGTCCTCCTCATTTGGTTTAGTACTTTAGTACCGTAGCGAATATGTGTTTCTTCATTTACCTAGATGTACTTATTCTAGATGTTGTATATTCTATATATATGTATATTTACTAACCCCAAATCAATCACGCCTCCCTGGCCAAATATTTTGTTGCCACTCCTCCACCCCATGTAAATAGCCCTTAGTTTTGTTAGTGTCTCGTTTGACTCGTTTCTCGGCCCTGATTATCAAACTCAAAGCCAAATCGTACGACAATTTTATAGGAGCTGTCGCCGGAGTGAAGCCACCGGCCACCAAGGACACCGAAAAGGAGCTCTACAACGCCAGCCTGTCGGCAACCGAGGTGGCCAGCAGTTTGTCCACCTCGCTGAAGAATCACCAGCAGCTGAAGGAGGCCGAGCAGCTGATGGAGATCGAGAAGCTGCGCCAGAAGCTCGAGAGCACGGAGCGGGCGATGGCCCAGCTAGTGGCTGAAATGAACACCGATCAGTATGAGGCAAAGGTTAGCATCCGCATCGAAATGGAAACCAGATACTGATACTTCAGATACAGATATAGATAAAGCTAATGATTCAGTTACATTTAGTTCAACATCATCGTAGTGATTTCAGTTGGCCCGAGTGCTCCCATCATTTATTAATCTTTTATACTTTTTTGTGTTCTCATTTTCAAGATGATTGCCATGAAGTTTCTCAAGCGGCAGCCAAACTTCTAAGACAAAAATAACCATCATTCAGTTCACATAGAATCAATCAGTAAACAGACCAAAATCAGACCAACAACTCAGATCACAACTAAGTACAAGCCGTTTTCTCTTGGTTTCTAGTGGATAGCTGAATCCTTGGAATGGTTTCTTACTTTCCCCTGCCCACCCCCTCTTAAACAACCCGTCTACTGTATCAAACTGTCTTTAGTAGTATATCTATATCTAACAAGTGCATGGAACGGACTTCTCCTGACTCTGTTTCTGTTTTAACCTGCTTGTCTGCTGTCGGCATGCGATATATTACCATATCTTTCCACGTATCTACTAACGAATCCTGTCTAAGTGTGTTTGCATCTCACTGAGTACTCTCACTCACTCACTCTCTCTCTAAACTCTTATGATGGGGACATATTTTATGATTCGAACAAGTTTTTTTCGAAATCTATTCGAACACTCTATCTCTAGAACTAGACATCATATTGCCAATTAAGATAATCGCAAATATCATTCCATTGTTTAAGCTAAAGAAACTACTATATCGATATTCACCCTTTGTCGTTTCTACGTTTTTCATGTTTCTCACAAATGTGTGTGTAAAAAACAAACAAAAAATGAATTTATACCCAATATTTTTGGGCTTAGTTGTTACGGCCATACAAGGTTTGATAGACGCGGCCGATGAGCAATTGAATGGCCAAGACAAGCAGAGGGCGACGAGCGATACTGAAACTGATTTGAATAAGGTTAGAGACCGTCAAAGGGTCCGGCACGGCAATCCTTGAACATAATTATTAACTCTTGGATATCCGAGTATTTAATCTTTTTGTTTGTTAACCAAGATCCTTCGACTAATTGAGTTTTGTTGCGTTTCACCTAACCTCGACGAATTGAAGTAATTAATGCGTTTAAATTTTACTTTACGTTTCAAGGCTGTAAAATTGCTTAGATCTGTGTATATTTTAAGAAATTATTTCTAATCTTTCTAACCTGTATACATTACAACCAGAAAAACGACAACGAAAAAACGAGAGAGCAAGTAGACAAGCAGAACCTTTCCAACGGACATGCAAACAAAGACCAAAATCCGGAACAGGAGACAGCGGTAAAGGGAGGCAGGAAACGCCGGGATCTGAGCGCTGAACGGGAACTAACGGTAGGCCACATATCATTTAGCATCTTGAATCCGTAGATCCGTTGACGTAACTAATCGAAAATATTGGTGCAGGTACTCGGAATGGAGTTAACAGCCAGTTGCGAGGGCGGCCACAAGTGGTCTGGACGCCCTCCAACGCCTGTTTTCCGAGCGCCAAGCGAACATGTAAGTGCCACTGCCGCACAACCTTTCCCTTTCAAGTTCTCCACTTTCTATCTCTATACTTAACTGATTTTCTCTGACTAACTGCTTAGAAGTCATTCTATATTCAATCAATCAATCAATATGGCTAAAGTACTTCTCAATACCATTCCGTAATTCGAAAGCCAAAGATTTAAATTTACTTCCAAAACCTATATCTCAAATAGTAAGTATAAAACCCTCTCGATTTTAGTCCAAATTGGAAGAAAATTTGCCAGAACCGCAGTCCATTTACTTGGAAGGCGCTCTGGCACATGAGTCCCAGATCCTGGTGGCCGACTCTCAAATCAAGCGCGAAGAGGTCTACGACTCCGAGCTCAATGGATCAGCCGAGGAACCAGCCGTATGAATAGCTCATAGTCCCACCATTTGACTTACTAATCTTAGCCATAATTTTCAGATCATTCTTAGCAGCAGAATGACATTGTCATTGATTAATTTGGACGCAAATCAACAAAATGGAAATGCAGGCAAATCCGCATTGGAAAGTCCTTTGGCTGACGACATCGAAATAATTGGACACGACGAGCATTAGACAAATGTGTACTTATATATATATTTTGGCAATGATAACGATTTGATTCAGACAAAAATACTATATTGCATGGGCCGAGTGAAATTTCGTTGCTAATTTTGTTTATCGACGAACATTATGACTGATTAACTCGAAACAAATTTGCCAATAATTTGATATCTAATTTGTATATATACATATTGTATGTTTTGATATCTTTGTTTTGATTTAAAAACGCCAAAGTTTTTTTGTCTTCCCTTAAACACAAAAATCCACTGTCTTTCTGCTCTTATAAAACTTTTCTCATTTTCGGTCAAACATAGTCCTACTTGCATGTTGGGAAAACCGTTAAACTCTATTAGGAAAATGCTGTCTTTATGAACTGCATGATTTTATGTGAATACTGTTAGTTGAAACTCAATGCAAACACTAGTCTACCATTAAGCTAAGCGCATATGTATTTCAATCCGCATCGTCTATATTGTGCTCTTTTCGCATCAAGAACCCCGTAGCTACTTGGCAAGGAAATTACTCAAACAAAATCGATTGCACCTTATGATTAAACAACTAAAGTTAGTGCCACAGCGTTTGTGAACCTAGTATAATGAATAAATTGAAAACCGAACTTGAAATCGAAATGTGGGCTTTATTGAACCAAAATATGAAGTTGACTATTCCTCTTTTTTTTATAGAAAAAGAAGATTGATTTCCTATATAAAATTAGGCGTACGTTAAGCTTTTCAAATTAACAGCACAATAACATTGTGCTTAACAGTATGCGCTTAACAGCACACTTTTGAATTTTCATTCCCCACATAGGTACACACTTGTCATCAGCTGTTTTTTGTCAATCTTCGCCACAATAATTACGTAAATTTCGGCAGGTTAGTAAATTTCTGTTTATTTCTCTGTAATTATGAGGGTCCCAACGCCAAGTAGCCTCCCAAGTGATAGCACAAACGTCCAGGAATGATTTCCACTATTCCAGGGGGCTGAAAGGGCAAATGGTTCTTCGCTATAGAGTCTTTTTGTGGCTAATTTTGGTGCATTTCAATATCGTCTATAGCCAACCATGTCGCTGCTCCGTTCAAAATACTACGACCATCCTGATGGCGAGGATGCCTTCGGCAAGATAGTGGCCACCAACAAGTACGCGGTATCCGCTGGCCTGGCCTGGTCTATGTTCGACGTCCTGACCCTCTCCAAGCCACAGGGTTACATACCCACCTTGGGACGCTTCGCCTACAACACCGGACCGTTGATGGGCATGGCTACGGCATTTACACTGACCACCTTGGCGGCCACAAATGCCCGCGGCAAGGATGACAAGTGAGTGATGAAGCCATCTGTTGAATGTTCCAGGGTCTATACTTATTTAATTTTTCAGAATCAACTACTTCATTGGTGGTTTTGCAGCTGGCGGAGTTTTTGGAGCCTGGAAACACAACCACGTAGCCGGTCTCTGCGTCGGCCTCTTCTTGGGTAAGTTTTCCCGCTTTACGATAAGCTTAAACTCCCTTTTAATCATTCTTCCTATCTAGGCATGGCTGGTGTCGTCAAGAAGATGTCCATTGAACAGGGTTGGGAATTCTTCCCAGACACTCCTTTAAGGCAACATGGTGGTCTCAACATCGCCGACAACGACTGGACCATCATGGCCGACCGTCCCAAGAACTGGACCACGGAGAAGCCTAAGGAGCAGAAGGCGTAAAGTCTAGTTTCTATGATTAGTTTAATGGTGATTCGATGTGAGAAGGATTCGGCCGTATCCGTTTGCCTTGCAACCGAATAAAAGCTAAGTGAGAAGTGATAATGCCACCCCAAGTGTCGCCAATCAGCAGTTGTCCATTAACCCTATCTAATGGTGCCACAGGCTGGACTTCGTTAGCCGTTGCGATATGCAAACGAGTTGAATGTGTCACAGAAACTTATCAACAGTTGGCGTGAATGAATGACGGCCCAAAAGTCGGGAACCCAAAGAGGCCAGCGCGAAAGCAACTTACCAAAACATGGGGGAAACAAGTCACGCTCGCGGCTCGCAGCTCGGAGTCTTATGTGCTTCGAACAGTTTATTTCTTTATTTTCATCGGCCCATTTAAAATCCATGAATGTGCATTTACTCATGTTTTGGTCTTTTCACTCGGAGAGGTGACTCATACCGCGAGCATATATATGCATGACCATAGGTAAGATGTGCCATCGTCTGCATACTAATGCAGTCTCTTAAGCTCATTTTATTGGGCTTTGGAATAGGAATCAATCGATTGCATCTGACCAGCCCTTAGAAATTCTTCTGGAGTCGCCCAACCAGAACTGAGGTTTTGCCCATGTCTACCTTAACCTTTGCCAACCTCAGAATATTTTCTTGCGGCTTTTTGGAAGTTTTATTTTTGCTGTTTCTCTTTGTGGTTACTTTTTGTCAGATTTATTGTTATGGCGAAAGAAAGTTTTGTGATCGAGAGGAGTGACCCTTAAGCTGAAGACCGTTAAGCCTTGATGATTCGTTATACTGATGATTCTGCGCTTTATGTAACTTACTGACTAAGATGCTAATGTAATACTTCTATTGATACACTCTTGCTTAAACAATAAGTTTGGAGTATGGAATATACCCACAGAAAGCATTATATTCGCCACTTACCTTGATCTTTGGTACCTATCCTCACCCTGCTCCACTATCAAATGATCTGAAAACCAGTCGAGCAGCTTAGCAGCGAGTGAATTGAAGTGCGCCAGTATCCGAATCTGGCTGACTCTGACTAATCTGTGGCAGCTGGCTCCACTCCACTCCAGTCCAGTCCACTTCACTTGGCTGCAAGCTGGCGAATCTTATGGATGCGGCTGTTGTCATGGCTCTCAGCATGCTAAAACATAAACTGGGGGATTTCGCGATCGCCGCGTGATTTATGGGAGATGAATGCTGCGGGAATGACATCATCATTGGCAATTCGACTTGGGGGAATGGAATGGGGTCTTGCGTATGTGCGAGTGCCTCTTCCCTGTGGAAGCCAAAAGTTAATTAAAAATAAAATAATTGTTTTTACTTTCATTTCCTGGCCCCTTTCATAAATAAGGAGAAAAATAAGTTGTCCCGAAGGCACATCGAATCGGTAGCCCTTTTTCAATTCCAATTATTGACGCCTCTTATCGTTTCCAAAATACCCATGTCCTCGCGTGCCCACAGGATCTTACACTTAGGAATATGCTAATTTTTGGCTGCGATTAATTCAACCCCTGGCTAGGATGAGGGACTCAAAGTGCTCGAAATGCTTTCAAGTTAATGAAACAGTAGGCAGTAAATGAGTCTGATATTTTTAATGTCAAAATATTGAATCGAGGAGTCGTCCATGGGCAGAATGTTATACTTTCCTACAGCTGCGGTCACAAAAGTAGTAGTGGAGCCTAAACTTATTACTGTATTTTTAATCCGTTTTTAATTTTAAATGAATACTTTTTAAACATTTTATTGGATGTGATTTCTGTATACTGGATATGCATTAAAACTCTGGTTACTATTCCATGCTAAGATCAAATAAATATTTTTCAATCAGACAGAATGCTTTGGTATTTTTAGGCATCTGGTTTTACTCGTAATATTATGACTGCAACTGTGGCATTTATGAATGTGAAGTGGTCACGCAGCCGTGTGGAGATGGTGGTGGGTAGAAGAAGGAGTTGCAGCCGTGGCAAGACGCTCGTAATTAATCTTATTAGGCGCAGTGCGACTGCTCAACTCACTCCGATGGAGATGCGTTTTTATGGAATTGTGCGGTGTGTAATCCTTTTAATAAAACCCACACAACGCAGATCGGGCGACACACTGTCAAATTAATCACCATCACAGCACAGCAGTTGAGTGCTGCATCTGCATCTGCAACGCAACTGCAGTGAAGGTTATCCAGTGCCTGAGCCCCTTACAATTCTGCAATTAAAGATCGGCGCGACACAAAAGATGCATCTGTGGATGCATGTGTATCTTTGTATCTTTTTATCTACAAATGTGTTCATGTAGCCTCGCTGCCTTTTTGTAGCCATTCAATTGGTGTCAGACACCATTGACTGTACTGTGGAAATGCTAATAATTAATCAAGAGTACTCACCCAGTTGCAGTTTATGTTGCAAATGCTAAGATCTTTTTGGTCCTTTAAGCTATCAACCCTATATTCTAAACCCTGAATTCGATGAATTTATAGTTATGAATATATTTTCTATTAGGGTTTTCTGATTAGAACATTTATTTAAATTTTCCGATGAAGATCATGACTGTAACCCATCTGACGCCACAGCAACATCCGACTATCATGATTGTCTACGGAATCAGGGACACAATTCATCATTGGACACAAGACATGGCAACTCGAAGTGGTTGCCACAGCATTTGTCTGTGTTTGGTTGCAATGACACCTTCACCTCCACCCCCACTGTCATCTTCCAGTTGCCCCGACAAACAGACAACCGCCTCATAAGATGCAAATGCAACAGCCGTCCATGGGTATGTACATATATATGGGTATATGGGTATCAGATTCACTTAACCCGATCCGCAACGGGGTCATAAGTGCAGGGTAAATAAAACATTTTACTGCCGCGGCGAACGTGCCGCCCAGAAGACCAAGAGATGAGACTGTATCCGAAGATGACTGCGGATGGAAACAAATGAAGTGATTGAATGCGTTGCGCAGACGCAGCCGGGTGGAAGATATATATACATATATGTAAATACATATATGTAGGATGAGGGAACGGGAAGCCCCAAATGACAAGAGCACGCGTTGGGTTCCCTCGAAACGAAAGATTGATTGGATTTTTGTTTCCTTTCCGAGTTCATCAATTCAGACAATCTAAATGGAAATACTTAAGAAAGAAACTCTTTTCGGTGCTGGTCGTACGTCAATTTAACACTCCGCCAATCGCGTGTTCTTGTAATGGGAGATTGGGAGGAAGAGCTACTAATCAATCAAATGGTTTCCCTGGGAACAGTTCATCTTCTCGTCCGCCTATGATCACTGGGATCTATTACCATGCTTGAAATGATTTTTCATGCAGTTCAGCTTATAATATTTGATTGATAATATTTTTACTGTTGGTAGCTAGAAAGTTACTGACATTTAAATATTAGTGTGGAAATGGATAGTCTCCAAATTTCCCTCCATAACTTCAAATTCAGATGTGAAAACAGATTCCCTTCGAAAGTGTTTACTTTGTGGCGAATCGTATTTGATTTGGTAATAAAACTACATCGAATGTCGAGGGGCTTGAACATAAACCATGCAAATATGTTGCGAGGGGAGTGCATAAATCAAATAGAAATTCGTCACAAGCGACATTTCCCTTTGGCCCTAATCCCTCTCGATCCACTATATACACTATATAGTACGATTCCACTGGCAGAGACACGCAACATTTGTTGCAAATGAAGTGAGACACATGGGCCTGGGGCAAAGCAACTTCCAGCTGGAATCGCAATTATTCTCCATTCCAAGATGACTGGAGGGTTACTGCTCCTTTTGTCCAACTAGAGCGAAGCTTCTCTTCTCCTGTGGATTCTTTTCACTTTGTTTGTCGGGAGTCTTTGGAATAATAAAGATTACAGTCGAGCCTTAAGACCCCGATTTTCATTTGTTATACATTGTTTTAAATAGGAAGCTACCATGTTTGTATTAACCAAGTAAATATTTTTTAAATTATGCTAAATGGATGCTTATGATGGAAATATATGAATCACTTTTGAAAGATTCATTTCATAGAATCCCCACTGTAGTTCTCTGCTCCACCTCGATCGCATTCTCGCACATGCATCATACGAGAGGAACGAAGAACTTGGAGTGCTCGACGGCGTCGCTGGCTGTTCAAGTGGCATTCTTCAACTGCCATTCCTCTTCTCCTATTCTCCCAATGCTCTCTTCCAGTTTTTGAAGAGGCTTCCGTTCGGTTCTCCGGCATAATAAATCTTAGGCATGGGCGGGGCGATTTAGCCGCAGCACTGAGATCGTGACGCATTTGAACTTTGCTTCCCATATTTCCAATCAATACACAAGTCGATATGTTTCCCTTTGCCTCGCTAAAAAGACTCTCTCAATTGATAACCCATAAAACTTGAGCACCCTGAATTAATTTGAGTCTGGGCAGTATTTAAATTTGATTTTCAAGTCTGAGTTTTGGGGCTTAAGTGTTTTTAATGGCAGCTCCCAAATTCGATTCATTGCGAGACGCACTTATATACAGTTGCGGGCATTACAGGAAAACCTATCCATCTATAATTTAAAATTATTGGAAATGTATGTAAGGAATTGCTTTTGTGGCTTTGGTATTTCCAGTTTACTTAGTTATTTTAAGTAATGAAATAGATTAATATTTTTATTATATTCCACCGATAAAGATAGTATTCTGCCCTAGAGTGTACCCATGTAGATATTTTCCAAAAGTGCATTGGCCGCGCCGGCGCATAAGAAAAAGAGAGGAAGCAATTTCGGAAGCTTTCAATTGCTTGACTTCAGTTCTGCCCCCTGAGATACGAGCCCCATGAGCATTGCGCTTTTATGCAGGGCCTCTGGGAAATCTGTGCGGCGCATTATTAACAATTCCATTAATTTTTCCCCGAATCTCTTTCGGTTGCTCTAATTATGAAAATATTCTTTATGTGGCTGCCTTTGCTTATTTTTCGGCCCCTACTCACTCAATTGATTCAATTATGCAGAACAAATCACAGTTCTTCGATCCGCTTGCTGATCCAACGTGGCGATATGGCATTTTCAATTGCGCAATGGTGACTCGCCAAGAATGACCTCGATTTGTTCTGTTATGTTGATTAGAGGAAAATCGAATTTATTGCTCATGAAATTGATTAATGAACTAACAAAGGATTGAGCTGTGAAACAGCTTAGAAACTTGTGTGAAGTGTTAGTGGATAAGGAAAAATAAAAAATTAAATTATACTTTGGTGAATACTTTTAAATGTTTTGGTTTATCTCAGAAACTAATGCCTTTTTTCTCGTTGTTTAAATTTTCCTATTTTTCTTGTGACTTTCAGTCATACATACATACATATATCATCCGATTGAACTATAAAAACTGTAACCAATTTGGAATCTCTGATAACAACAAATTGGTTCTTTGTTGCTGCAAGAAAATGCTTTCTCTCCTGCCAAATTGTCAGTTACCCCAACTGGCAGGAAGTTAATGCAGAGCTAACTGTAGAGAGTTTTCTGGCATTCCATGCGAACACAATTTTCCATGCTTTACGAGTATATCCGCTATCTGGGCGATTTCATCTGCCAGTTGCAAACGTTACGCTCGCTATCCGATTGATTTGTCTTATGTTCTCTTCTCTAGAAAACACGCCCACCCAAGACAATTGGCGTCGTGTTTTTTTCTTTCGGCCTGTCTTTGTTCAACTATACCTACATATTCTATTGAATGTGCTTTTTTTTGACTTCGTCTTTCAGCTAAATTTTGTATTGAGTGCGCCCTTTTCTCCCACCACTTCTCAAGATTTAATTGCTACTTTTGTACTTGTCATCGTTTGCGACTCGTTGATATCTATTGGATTGCCATCGTTTCGTTTCGTTTAGATACGAAAGTTTCCGCTTTGCTGACAGCCCCAAATTTGCGGTTTCTTTTTCAATTGCCTTTGTATCTGAGAGTATCTTTGGGATATCTATGGCTGAATACCCAGCCAGAACTTTAAAATTGTCTAGTCTAATGTTACTTATATGGACACCGTTTAATTTTAAGGCATATTTTCACTGCATTCAATGTTTAATCTATTTATTTTCTATTTTAAGCTGAACTTCTATTGTTGTGAGCTGGGCCATTAAAATTAATAAAAGGAATCTGAGTGTCAGAGCTCATTCCCCACCTCGTCGATTATCACTTTTCCACATGCCTCTCGATTTTACGGCTAACCGAGAGATTTGTCGTTGACGGCACGCGGACTCGGTAGGAAAGTTGGGGAGGTAATAATTGCTAAGATCACGCACAACTCACATAAAATTTCAGATCCGGAGGAAAGAGACGCTGAGGTGGGAGTACATGTGAGGGAAATTGTCTTCCATTTGGGTCAAAATTATCCACAGTGTGGTGCACTACATCCCCCGACAATGGATCTCTATAAATCATCAGCCGGCGTCACGACGGTTAATGTCATTAAAATTCGACTCAAATCAAAACCTCTTCCACTAATGGTAAGTTTACAAAATATATTGCAGTTTCCATTTCCATGTTTATAGAGTGTCAGGCGATAGAATTTATTGCCAGCTCAGGGAAAACATTACTGAAATTGAATTTGAAACGCACACGTCCTCTCCGATTTATTTCTAAAAATTTCAAAAATGCCAGAGGGAAGGTTTCGTAAAGTTACAAGAGATTTTGAAAACAAAATTAATATTTCGACTAATTGAATATGGAATATAGATGCATATTTTAACCCTTGTTCGGTAGTTCTTTTAATTCGATTTTCAAACACCATTCGCTTTATTACGAGCTAAAAATAAATAAACAAAAAATGTTAACAGACTTTGTTTATCCAAAATTGGAATTCCTCACTCTGCTCTAGTTTCCCCTTCTGTTTAAAGGGAATTCTTAATGTGTAACCATAAAAAATCAGGATATACCCTGTTGCTTGGGGGAAACTAAATAAATAGAATTACGTTTGCGCCATAAGGACACACTTACGGGTTATCCTGCGTTTGACTTGGCGCACGCGTCCTGCCGGGAACCAGTAATGAACCCTTGGATGCCGGCAGCTGCCAAAAAAATGCCTTTTAAAGGGCTGCAGGACCTCCTGTTCCGTGCCGCTGGCTTTGTTAACCATCCTCCTGGCTTCCAGTCGGCGGTCTTGTTAAGTCGTCGTTTATCCGTTCCAAAGCCCCTTGGAGTGAACCCAAAACAAACAAATCGAAGTCAACCCTCCACTCTTTTGGCATTTATTAACTGGCGAAGAAAACTCTTATGAGTCGTGTCTTGAGTTATGATTTCTGTTTGCCTCCCATATTTATTTCGAAGAAAGCCAAAAATCCCCCTGGGAAGTGTTTATTTTTCTCAAGTTCTTATCAAATTAAAAATTCCGTTAATATAAAAAAAGAGATTATGAAAAATAGCAGTTGTGTATGCATAAGCGAAAGTCAGCAAAACGCTGGCCAACAGTAAACATTAACCCGGATTAATTACGATAATAAACTATCATTTTCACCCAAAACACGAACCCAAACACACGCACAAAAACCCAGACAAAAGAATCAGTAACCGGAACTGAACTTGGCAGATCTGTTGGAGCCCCAAAAAAAGAAAGCGATGTACTCTGTATAGGGAAAAGTACGTGTGTATGTATGGTATCAGTGATATAACCGTGCTAAAATCGGGGATCGAAATAATAACATTGCAATTATAATTGTCTTCTTTTTTACTGGCAGTCGAAATAGTTAACTTTTAATAATACAAGTTTTTTTTAAATTTTTTTGCCATAAAAAACTACCTGAAAATCATTTCCCGATGTTCTGCCTGATTTTATGAAGTCTTATAGATTGCAAGATATATATATATATAGAAATTGCATTCCTTAAAAAGTATTATCAGGCCTTGCCACGAATATTTCTTTCTATTAATAGGTTGAAATGATAAATTGTTTAGGGGTAAGAGAGGTTTGAATTATCTATTTTCAAAGATCATTCATAAGTTCTCAATTTTTTCAAGCTGCACATATGGCATTTTGCTGTCTTCCATAAGCAATGTTTTTCGGTTTTCTCAAAGTGAGTTAAGCAAATAAACTCTGCCTGGGGAATCGGCTGAAGTCGGCTTGGTTAGCTCTCAGAGAACTGGGTGCTAAAACTTTTGCGAAACGCTGTCACAAGAAATCCACATGTCACACGGCAGCACTCCTCTTCTTGTTGTTACAGTCGAGCGCTCTTGGTGAGCTCAGCATAAACAAGAAAAAAAACCTTATAGTATATAGCACCGACCAATAAATACCTTCACTACTAGTAAAGATCTTATTGGTTTCTATATCAAAGCCAATATTTGTCTGATCGATATGAAATTTGTTATGTGTGTAAATGCTAGAAAATCAGAAATCGCTATCTTCAAGCGACTTTAGCTGCCTAAGTTTTAGGTTCCCAGATCTGGAATACAATATGCTCTTTTGCTTGATGGGTACCAAGTAAAAAAACTACAAGATGGAGGCCTTATTTGGCATTGGACGAAATCGAAAGACTTTTGCGTGACTGCGACACACGCACCCACGACTACAAACACATAAACACGCGATGTTTGGAAGAGTTGAGGGAATTTTGTATTTCAATTTATACATAGCTGTAGTTATAGTTCTTTTTCTGCCGTTAAGTGTGCCCCATAATCACTGTTATAATACGGTTAAAGAGAAATTACTGACAATTTAGGCCTAACAATTTAACATCAATTCCTACATGGAAAATTGCATCATAAAAAGAGTCTTTGGCCATTTTAAAATCCAGCGACTTGTATTAACATTTGGCTAACAAGGTTTGCCTATGATTTTTCGTTTATCTTAATACTTAATTAATGCTTAAAAACTAATATAATGTTTATATTAAAATAATTGGATATAAAACTATTGTTATTTTTTCAAGGAGTGACTGTAATGTCTCCCAAGGGTCGCCTACGCAATAAAATTCCTCGCGAAGTGTTGCATTTTACACGCAATTCCGTTGCAGATTTCCTTTTTGGCATTCCATATGCATTGTTCATAATATATATAACTGCATGATCATATATATACCTTTGTATATATGTTTATGCATTTGGGGTCGCGGTCGCGTGTCGCCTGTGAGCTGTGCCACTTAAGTACATATAGATGCTTTTTGTTTTGTTTTCGTTTTTATTGCATTATGACATTTATTTATGGCCATATTCTCCCACTCGAATCTTGCGGCTGAGACGCAGTGCACGTGCAGGCCAAAAGAGCGGAGATGACTGAGGGGAGAGGCAGTGGCAGTATGGGAATAAGTGTTGGTGGGTGTTAATGGCGTGCAAATGCTTCACCTTCGGGTTATGCATCTCCTATATGGCTATCACTATCATCCTATCAGCTCCCTTTCTTCTGTGTTTGCTTTGTGCTCCATGTTGTGCACTTCCGTTTCCCGTTCCCCTGCCTTTCCGCCCGGTTGAAACCACAGAGCTTTCCGGGCAAATGTCACGTTTGTTTGCCTGCCACCGGGAGCGACTTCTGTACTCCGTCATCTGATTCGTCGTCGTGATCGGGGCTACTGTGGATTTTCATGGAGAAAAAATATTACCCTAATTGGTCATCTTATATGTATATTTTTCTAGTATCGTTAGACCTTTATTGAAAGGTTATGCAGGGTGGGGAGAGGTAGAGCAAAGTTTTTCTCATCCAGCTTTCGTTTTAAGTTCTGAGATCTCTTAGCTTATCTGTATTTTTGAAGATTTATTCTGCCCTTTAAATATAATTTGTGAAGTAAACAATAACAAGAATTTTATTACCAAGAACCTGGTAACAAGATTTCTCTCTGTATACTACCAACAAGCCAGGTGTGATTCATGGTTTGCGGGTGTGATAAATTGCATGCTACAAATCAAAAACAAATGATATGGGCTATGGTATGCGTCAGACAGGGAAAAGTTTTTCCCCGCCTTTGCCATTGTTTTATCGAGAACAAAAAACTTGCGTAATGCAATTAAAATACTTGTAAGCAAAACTGAGCGCTGCCCTTGACACAGTCGACTGGCGATCAGCCATTCACAATGAAACTGGACGGTGGGTGGCGGAATGCTGGGGGGATTTGGCAGATACTGAGAGAAGCTCATAATTGCCGCTTAGCTGCAAAACAATTTCAATTCATTCAAGACGAGCTCGTAAACCTAATTACTGATCACGACCAGCCACGGAAAAAAGAGAAGCGACCAGAGATGCCAAGTGTGAATTATAGACAGAAATTACCCCCTTAATTATAATTCAGTGTCAATGCAAAAATAAGATATAATTTGCCTGAAAGAGGGTGCTATAATTTAGGTGTCTCTAGTTAAGATTAAGAAAAAGAAGAGCAACTTCTTCAATATATTTAAACTTAAGCAAAAGGCTTAGAACAAACCCAAAATAAAAATCAAGGAGCACAAGAGATATGAAGAACAGCTGCCCCTAAACTCCCCAAGGGGTTCTATACCCTGCAGTTCGAGCACAAATTCCACTTCTTCCTAGTTCCGAACATTCCTGAGCATATCGGGCCTGGCCATCTCAGCCTGGAGCTTTATGAGTCCATTAAGGCTCCGAGATCCAGATTGTGACAGGCAACACACAGGCACTTTATGGCCAAGTTATTTTTATTAAAGCGCATATACACCATATGAAATTATAGTCAAGTCTAGAGTATGCAAACAGCAAAAACAAAAGATCGACTGAAGAAAATGCAAGCTTGGAAATATTTTTTGCATAAACAAGGTGCAAGATAAAAAATCAACAGGGTCTTGGCAGTCAGTTAGTCAGCAAGCAGTTGGCTTGAATGCTGCAGCAGCTTTCTTAACTTGTGTAAACTTGAAAACTGGAAACCGAGTGGTGGAAAACTGGTTTTCAGACTACAACTCGCCAAATGCCCGAAATGAAATGGAAAAAAAAAAAAAGAAAGAAAATAAAGAAAAGGAAAAAGAAAAGACTGGCCATAAGCATAAACGCTGGCCATCAAATGCGGCCTGGCCATTCGGACAAAAGAGGTCAAAGTTGATCGTGAGCCACAACTGGAAATTACTTAGCCACAAGCAACTGAACTATCTAAGTAAAAACACAAAAATAGACGACATGCAGACCCAGCTGGTGCCGGCTAATCCCATCGAGACACTCATAAATAGCCCGGCTTGACACTAATCAGACTCCGGACTCCGAACTCCGGAGTTTTGTTTTGCTTTGCTTTGTTTGCTTGTTTACCCCGTCGTGCACTTATGAACACCGATGCCGAGGATCACCCAGTGCCAGTCTCAGTCCCATTCCCAGTCCACATATATAAATAGCAATCGGCAGACGGCGCTAAATGCCAACTCCGGCGCAGTGTTTCTCCTCCAGATATGGGTGCAAAAACATCGGGTTTATTTATGGATTGGCTGCACACTCCAGTTTATGATTTGCCTAGACCAGTACTTGGAGATCCGATAATGATCAAAGCAGGCATCTCCTTGGTGTACTTAAAATGCAATGAAATTT